AAGAAATACAAATTAAGTCTTTTACAGATCAGATGTTGAAACAACAAGTATTATTAAATAATAAGATATTAGAAAAGAATGTTGAAATACAACAACAACTGATACAAATGGATGGCAATGCCAATTCAGCAAGGCTGTCAATTATTCAGGAACTTAACCCTAGTATAGGACGTATTAACAATAATATTGCTATGCCAATCCACCAAACAAAGCCAAGTACAATCCCCGGTGATTTCAATTCACCCCTTGATGAAAATCAAAGAGTTGATCCATCACTTAGGGGAGAAGTCAGATTTAGACAAGCCACAGCAGCACCACAAGAAAGAATGGTGAGCGCTGTAGAACCTGTACCAGTCCTTAGGGATTTTCAGAGCCCAAAAATTTGTGAAAGAACAACTGTGAGAGAAGGAACACTTCCACCTTGTGAAAGATCATTTATGAGAGAAGATACTGCTCAAACAGCTATAACAGAATCTGCTAGAGAAGAGAACTTGACTAAGGCATTGACAAAACTTTGGCCAACAGGAAGGGATTGGAAAAGGTTTAGTGGAGACGGAGAATATAATCACAATGATTACATTGACTGGTGTGATGGTTTGATCACAGACTTAAAAATGGACCCACTTGTTGTTGTTAGCCATTTAAGCACGGCTTTTACTGGTACAGCAGGACAGTGGTACACAGACAAACGTAAAAGTAAAGGATCTATGACCTGGGACCAATGGAAGGAAGAAATCCATAAAAGATTTGGAAACAATGTGTGGAGAAATAACATGGAAGATTTGTTCATGAAAGACAAGTTTGATGCAAATATACATTTGGATTCCACAGCATGGTCTTTAAAGCAAAAGAAACGAATTGCTGCCTTTGACCCAGATGCATCTGAAGACAGGATTGTGAATAAAATTCTAAACAAAGTTGATGGTGATGTTAGAAATGCAATCAAAAGTCAACTTGATACACCCTACGAGTGGGATATCTTCTTAATGGTATTCAAAGATATTTTTGAAAATACAACTATTATTTCTAAGAAAAGGTACTTGGACGGACCGCAAAGACCTTTTGTGAAAAATGAAACAAACTTTGAAGAAGATAAGATACAAGCTACCTCTATCACAAAGGTTCAATCAAGTATGTCAGAGAGAAAACCTTCTAGAGCATGCCCAAACTGCGGCAGTAAAGATCCAAAACATCAATGGAAAGGATGTAGAGATAAACAAATAGATATGATTGAAGAAGACCTTGATGAAGGTCATAATATGAATGACAAGTATGAATTTCAAGGAGGACGATTTTCTGATGATTCAATGTCAGGAAGTGAGAATGAGGATCATCATCAAGATGTCTGCTTGATTGATACTCATGAAGATCAGTGGTACCAGCGGAAAAATACCCAATGGCAAGACAGTATTACAAAAATCCTAAAAAAAAAAAGAGCTCATAAACCTTCTGAAAAGGAGTAATGACCTCCTTTGAGGGTGGGGAATGTCAGCCCTGAGTACATATACATGTACCTAAAACTAACTCGCAATAAAGAATTATCATATACAAACCTAATTACATATACATACGGCCAATAGACAGTATGTAACATGTAATAAAACACATAAAAATATTAATTACATATACGTCTACACTTAAAACCACATGTAGTATGTTATAAAACATCGTTAACACCTCATAACTCAGTGTCAAGAGTTAAAATGCTTTGGTTTCAAATGCTTATACTACATAATATACTTAGTGTGTATATGTAATTAAGCATAATTAATAATGATCATAACAATCATTAACAACAAACCCTAAACCAATGTTGTGATACAAACAAATACCACTACAGTTAGGTTTAGAGAGGAGAGTATATAATCCCCTGCTCTCTCAGCATTCAAGAAAATCCCCCAAGCAATTATTACACGATACTTTTAAAGAACAGCATTAAAGTTCTATTGAAGTAACATCAAGAGTCTTATAAATATAAGACTAGTGATAACTTCATAACTTTAATCAGCTTCCTGACTAAAAGTAAGTAGTATTCTCTTCACTTTGTCTGGATCCTCTACTTTCCCTAAGTAGAAATCTTTCAGGTTAGTGACCTTCCAATTAACTTCAGGTTGGTTACCTTTTGAACAACCACAGGTTAGTGACCTATATCAACTCACAGGTTAGTGCACCTTTTGAACAACCACAGGTTAGTGACCTATATCAACTCACAGGTTAGTGCACCTTTTGAACAACTACAGGTTAGTAACCTATATCAACTCACAGGTTAGTGCACCTTTTGAACAACTACAAGTTGGTGACTTTAGAACAACCAGATTAGTGACCTTCACCTCACTCTTTAATCTGTTACCTTAAAGATTAAAGGAGGGCCTTGGATCCAGCCTTCTCATGTTATAATATTCTTATATTATATTTCAAACCTCCTCTTAAGGAGTCATTTAGCTGTAGTCTGTCTGGGTTTGTCCAAACAGACTTGTTCCCTACTTCCTCCTCCTTTCTTCTCTTTCAAATTTTATTGTAATTACATAATATTTGAAATATAACTTTAATTATAAAAAAATTACAAACAAACATTTCCATCTTTAGTGAGCTTTGAGTACTCTTTTGAATACCCAACCCTCACATTTACATTGAGGGGGGGTATTGGAATCTGAACGCAATTATCAACATCCTATTCCTTAACTTAACAACCACTTCCGCATTGGTCTTAGGATAACTATTCATCTCTCTCTTCTCCTTTTCTTATTTCTTATTTGTTTTGATGCTCCCAATGCGGTGCATGATAGACACAAACCTTTGTACGACCGTTAACCTATGTCTAGAGAACTATCTGCTATATAAAGAGCTATTGTTTGCGTATCAACTTGTTTTCCTTACTCAAACATTTCATCTCTTTACATCCACACCTTCCAACAGGTGATTAGTTCTCCATCACTCTAACGTGATCTCATAGCCATAGCGCTCTTTTGTAATCACTAACATCGTGATTCCTACCAGGTCTGCTGTTGTTTATTCTTTCTCTTTGTTCACTCATGTTGTTGGTTATGGAAATATATTCACTCAAACATTTCATCTCTTTACATCCACACCTTCCAACAGGTGATTAGTTCTCCATCACTCTAACGTGATCTCATAGCCATAGCGCTCTTTCGTAATCACTAACATCGTGATTCCTACCAGTCACCTGGCCATTCCTACCTCATTACTTATTGCAATCTGAGTAAAAAATTACAATAGCTCAAAAATCAAGTTTTTGAGATTTCAGAAAGCAACTGCAGCTAAAGGTGTTGCATGAGTGTCTCTTAATTTACAGTCAATCTGTCCTACTAAATCTCAGAAATCCGATCTTTGAGTCATTATAAAGTTGTGTGCAATTGTGCCAGAAATCACTTTTGAAAAAATATAGGTCAGGTAAGGGTAGCCAGGGATGGCAAAAATAAGACTCCAATTTCAGCCATTGTCGAGGAACAAAATAGAGCATGTGTTAACTTGAGTGCATATGTGATATTCTGATTTCAAGATTTAGCAGCTTTGAAGGGCACAGAAGGTATTGTACATTAAGATGGTCAAGGAGATTAAACATATGGAATCATCAAGATTGAACGCGCACTTGTTTACTTCAAAGGTGTCTGAGCAGATCAAGATAACTTTGTTTTGTGTTCCTAAGTTGCTGTTGTGCAAACAGACCTTCAATGTAGCAGAACTAAGCTGGAAGGGTGGAGCTTCTCCTCTATGATAACTTTGATGGAATGACAGGTACTTTCAACAAAAGAGCAGGCGCCTGCCGAGTCTGGGTGAACACCAATATAAATTACTTGTGCAGGAAAAAATGGTGTCAAAGAACAAATTCAATACCAAGCTTTAGTGAAATGTCAGGTACCTCTGACATTGCTCAGAAGACCAGGAGGCCGCCGAGTCTGGGTACAACACCCGTTATTGCTTTGCTAAGAATGAATTTCATGAAAGGCCAAATTCAACACCACATGCACCACATAGAGGTTCTAAACATGGTATAAGGTCTCATTCAGCAAACAAGAAGGTAACTCAGGCCTAGAAGCATTCTCGTGCTGAAGGGTATCTGCCTTGTCCGATCCCACTTCTCAATACCAGCTGGGAGGTTTCCTGACATCTGCTGATCTTAGACTATCTGAGTGTTGGAGGTCATATGATTACATTTTGGATCGATTCTTCTACACGACTTTCGGAATCGAGTTGCAAATTAAGGACAAAAGCTGAGGAAAATTAATTTTCAAATACTCCTATTTTAAAGGGAGTGATACCCAATGTATTAAGCCTATAGCTGTTATATCAAAGAAACTGCGCCCTCCATTTTGATTGATTGGTTGATAATTTGCGCCGGATAAAACCGGAGACAGACAAATGTAGTATGATGAACAGATTGGACTTTCAAAATCCAGGAACGAGAAGATCTCCTGCAAATCTCAAAAAAGTAATTCCGATTGCAAAGGCTCCAAATCCAGTTAAGACTCGTAGGTTGGCTTCACGAGATGCTGGATTGGTGAATTCTTGAATGAGGATTTGTTTCCAGATCGGTACTTCTTCTGGTCTTGGTGTAGGTGCGCCCATATATGAGGGAGTTTCCTTTCCTCTAGTTGCCATTTCGCTACTATGATTGTGAAGTAAGCATCAGGAGTCTACAATAGCAAAGAGATTAAGCAAAGGCCAAATTACTCACGGGAGATTAAGGCTGAAGTACCAAAATTAGATCGTTGAACAAACCCTTCGTATCAGAATTCTGGGAGGTTCTTAAAGGTTTCTTTGGAGTGTTGTCTTCCGAAGTGATTGAGGTTGTATGAGGCGGATGAGTTTGTAAAGTCAATTTTTTCAGCGTGTAATTTTTAGTCATCGACCTAAGCTTAAGGTATGTACTTAAACAGGTTTAAAACCTGTCAAACCAAACTCCACGGCTGTATGAAGCTTCTGGACTCTGGCGTCATCATCGCGATTGGCCTTCAACATTCTCATCTCGTCCTGCCTTCATGAGCAATTCTCACGACAAGAACTCGCCATCTGAGCAACCCAAAGTGGTGATCATTGCCGTCGGTGGACCAAGTTGCAGTGGAAAGACTACGTCCGTCATCAACATCAACTTATCAAGAATCTCACTTGATTTCGGACTTATTCCAAGAGAGTCAGCTATTGATCCGATCATCTTGCTTGCTTTCAATATCATCACAACAGTTTAGCCAAACATCTTCATCGGATCTTACCTAATTCGATCATTCTTCATCAAGATGATTTTGCACCACCGGCGGAGGAGATACCTCTTCATCCGATCCACAACGTAAAAGATTGGGACGACCCTAAGGGAGCGTTAGTCTTTTATCACAACTAATATATTACCGGCTGGAATCAACCATATCTGAAATTGAATGTTGTGCTTAGGATCGACTGGCCTCGATTTCGCTCCTCACTCCAGTACATCCGAAACCACGGGGGTGAATTTCCCCCATCTCACGCTTCCCACGATCATCTTAATCTTCAGCCCGACATACCCATCCCTCAAGATTTCACAGAAACTTGGCACCAGCGGTTCTCATCGCTTTCATCTGAAAAAATTCGGTATGTTATTGCTGATGGCTTCTTGTTGTATTGGGATCAGGAATCTGTGAAGCAGTATGACGTCAAACTGTTTGTGAGAGAATCCTATGCAGTCTTGAAAGAACGCAGGCGCATTAGGATGAGCTATAACACAGCTGGTTCGTCACCCTATATGTTTCCGATCTTTCCCACTCCATTTGCAAGAAGTTTTTTGATTGATCATGCCCTTCTCTTGACAATCTTATACATAACCTGTGGCGGGATATAGAGGGTGAGACTTGGGTAGATCCGCCGGAGTATTGGGATCAAATCGTCTGGCCAGCCTACTTGGTTGCACACGAACATATGTTTGTTGGCAAGGACGTTGCGAATGGACCAGTTGATCGATCAAATTGGGCATGCGATGGCACGATAATGCTCGAAGCTCAACTCAATGCGCTCTCGACTGATACGATGCAAGACTTTGTCAACCAAAGCTTAGAGGCTATCTGGGCTCACCTTCATCCTTAGCCATCGTTTTCGAACTTGAATTTCTTTCTAGATATTCAAACTTATTATTTTGATTAATTCTTTTCCGCATTGTATAGATGGTTTGTTGTTGTTGTTAGATTGTAGGACCAAGTCAATGATTTTCTTAGCCTTAGGTGATATGTCAGATTAAAGATAGATGAACTTCCTCGAAGATGTGGTGCGGGTGTGTTGTTCACCTATCTGGTGTAGCAGAACTTATATTGCGTGGCTTGTTATTCTTCTGTTCGAAGCGGACAAAAATTGGCTTGCATCGCCAGCAAGCACCATCTGTCCCCCGGTGTCTATGCCTGCCCGGCTCCATATTCCTCTGTGAGTGCGTTGAATGGGCGCATGGGTCTTAGAAACTTTCCGCGTGCTAGAGTACCCAAACTTTCATCAAGCTCCTTGCCAATCAATGTCTTGATTAGGGCACAAACAGCTGATTACAGGGTGTTGTGGACACATACGCCTTCGTGCGGCTCTCACACAACGGGACCAGTCCCTCAGTTCCCGTTTGCTCGGGGATTGTGGAAGGGAAATATGTGAACTTTGGAACGGCTTAGTATGTCAAGTGGGATTGAAGTAGCTGAAGTTAGGGTATTGGCAGGCGCAATTGGGGGCGCATGTTCATCAATGGCAGCATAAGTGGAGGCATGGTTACAATCGAGTGAGTTTGAATTAGTACGTAATGCAATGTCACATTTTGTCTCATCCGCATATATATGGTATTCAAATGAGAAGATGTCCGCAAGTACATTGGATCAGTTGTGCTGAGGTTGATAGAGAGAGAGGATTGTGAGACTATCAGCATCGTCTTCCATGAGTTGATCAAGGTATGGTATCTGTTTACCTTGTGGAATCCGATGGCCTCGGAGCGCTCTCGGAAGCACTGACGGCAGATGTTCAAGCCATATTTACGGATGAGACCGGCGACGTGGCAGCAGACTTTGCTGTGTTCGACAATGGAATAAACATTCAATTGACGTCAGTCTGGCTTGTTGTCTGTTCGGGCTTGCGAGGAGTTGACGAACCATCCACGGGATCCCTTTCCGTATTTCTTGGGACGGGAGTTCCAGACGTTGGCGTGAGACATGATGTATCGAGTTTGGTGGAGACTGATTTAGATAAGTAAGAATGAGCAAAGGCAGGTTGATCTTGGGTTGAAGTATAGGATGAGCCTACTTGGTCTAGTTGTTGACTTTGACGATTCTTTCAAATAGGATACCAGATAGATTCAGTTTGAATGTTTGAGTTCTTATTGCAGTTTGTGCACTCACGATGTTCTCGATTGATGTTGTGGGAAGGCTGAAGAGGGCTTCCTGTGTACTCGTACTCGATTGAAATGTTTTGCTGAGGTTCGAACTCGCCACCCGGGCCGACAGAGGGGAATCGAAGAACCGGGTGACTGCCAATCGAGTTAGGTTTACAAGACCTAACTTTTGATGAGACATACCGCTAACCTGTAACCTCTCACTGCCACAACCGCTCCCTGCCTCTAGGCTTGATATAGGAAAAAGGCCGACGTCAAGACTCAAACCCCTCAAGTTGTAACAAGTCAGTATATATCATGCCATCCCTCTCCATACATCGATCAGAGTCACGTCCATAGAGCTCATCATCTTTCTTGCCGTAGTCCCTTCCTCAAGATGAGTATTTCCCGGGATTCGCGACACAAGCGGTCGGCTAGTGGAGCGTACGTTTTCGGCAAACTTGATTTCAACGTTGGACCCTTCTAATTCAGATAGTGCTTCCTTACTTCAATCCTCTCCTAAATCAACACTTTCAATTGCATCATGCGGATCACAGCAAGCGAGCTCACTACCGAAAGAAAAGAAAATTCGAACTCGGTCGTCAACCTGCTATGACCAAACTCGGTGCCAAGCGTATTCACACAGTCCGTGTCCGTGGTGGTAACATCAAACATCGTGCTCTTCGACTTGAGAGTGGTAACTTTGCTTGGGGATCTGAACGTGTGACCAAGAAGACACGAGTCATTGGTGTCGTCTACAACTCGACAAACAACGAGTTGGTCCGAACAAACACCTTGGTCAAGGGTGCTATCATTCAGATCGATGCTACTCCTTTCCGTCAGTGGTATGAGGGTCATTATGCTCAGCCAGTCACAAAGAAGGGAAAGGTAAGCCTTGGTCATATAGTCTTTGATCCACATTCCCGACCCAACCTTTCGATCGCCTGTCTGAAAAATTCGCTGTTTCCACGCCCTATAGAAAGTCGAAGAGCCAACCGCCGCTGGAACTGAGGCTGAGGCTCCCAAGGAGAAATCCAAGGCTGTCTTGAAGAAACTCGAACAGCGAAAAGCCACTGCCAAGATTGATCAAATGTTGGAGACTCAATTCCAAGCTGGTCGTCTCTACGCCTCTATTTCATCTCGACCTGGTCAAAGTGGTCGATGCGATGGTTACATTCTTGAGGGCAAGGAACTCGAGTGTAAGCTGTTCTAACTCCGTTCCACCCGCATAATGTAGCAAACGGCTGATCATTTCAACAATCACTCCGCTTCATTTTCTTGCTTTGTCCTTTCATCTTGACCCTTCATGTATCATCTTCACTCTGTTCATAGTCTACTTGCGACGATTGAGGAGTCACAAGCAAAAGCACGCTGCATGAAAACTTACCTCTTATGTGCCTATGCTCCAATCTTGCCGTCTATACCGCCTCTGCCCTCGTTATGGCTTACAACTTGTCACTTATCAAGCCTTTATCATGCCCTCAATGTCATACTATGTCTTTCTAGGTCAATTTTACCGACTTATCACGTAACTGTCATTCTGGTCGACTACTCCTTGAAGGGGGTTTTTGTCCGCGCATGCCTTAGCTGCTCACTAGCTGGCGCATTGTTGCCGGCCTGTGAGTATCGACTCGTCACAAAATTTGCATCGGACTTTTGATTGCGTCCCGGCGTCCTCTTCATCCTCTTATTAGCTCTCTTTGAATTTGTTTGTAATCGGAGTCGATCATTTGAAGTCAAGTGCTCCGGATGCAATCAATCATGCAAGTCGCAAACAATGCTCTCCGCCGTAGACGGCATGCATGTCGTTGCCAAGTCATACCGATGTAGAGCCGCTGTCACTGCCGTCTTTGCTCCATTTGCACTATGCCTACCATGAGCTACCATGCAGTTCTCCACTACTAAAGTCTCCACAGCTATGTTTGTCCATTGATCTTGGACATTTCACACCACTATTCCCGTGGTGGGTGTGGCACGTTTTTGACGCCCCTGGACTTGCTCTATCTGAAACCTAAAGTAATGATACTTGCCAAGCTCTGTTTGGCTTGCTTGACCAACCAGGACTTGATGGGGGCATGTCTGTTAATTTCTCACATCCCGGCTCTGTACAGCTCCTTCACAAAAAATTCTCAAACTACCACCCAGTTTGAGCCTCCTGATAGCTCCACCAAATGGAGTGGTTTGAAAGTAGGCAATGATTGTAAGAATGATTGCCATTGTGGCAAGTACAAGCACTACAATGCAGAGATGGATGGAAAAACTACCAAACTTTATTGCCACATGACCCAGGACTGTAAAACAATCTCAATCTTGGATTTTGCAACCCTTGAGGAAGTCAAAATGAAGTGTGATCCTACACGGTACACCAACAAACAACACCACACCACCATCAATGTCAACCCAACAGAGTTCAATGGATCATCAGCCCTTTCCACAAAGAGCCCTGAGCTAAATCACAACTTTGCACACTCTATGCAGGGCATATTTCATTGCTTCATGGCTTGTACCAAAGTGACCAACCTGGATACTTACAAAGATTTGCTCAAGGCTCTGATTACTGGCCATATTCCTTTTTGTTTTCTCCACAACGAATCATTCCTTGCCTTTCAAGATAAACTCTCTGTCATATGTTACACTCCAGCTTTGTGACACCTGATAATGGACACTGTCTTTCCTTGACTTCATGCACAATACTCAAAAGTGACCAAAGCTGGGCTCAGGCTCAAGTGGCATACAAACCTCAACTGACTGCTCAAAGAGCAGTGTTTATGTGGTCCTAATGGTGTTTGTTTTTGATCAAACAAAGTTAGCAAACACCAGTGTTTTTGATGAAAATCAAAAACGGGTTTGACCCAAAAACAGTTTTTGGCTTTGGTGATGCTTCTGACCAAAAATTGTTTTTGGGATCCAGCCAAATGGGCCCTAAAGCTCTTGTTCAGCTTTAAGTTCCACAACAGTCTCATGAAGAAATAAGACAATTGTGAATTTCTTCAGTGCTTCACATTTTTTGGGGACCAAGGAGTTTAATTGATCCAGTAAAGAGGGCATAGCACATGGGATTTGGATGTTTAGTGAGACCTGGTGTTTTTCAAGGGCAAAGCTTCAACTGTCTGTTGAATATCATTAGCAAGGGTCTCAGATGTGTATGGAGATGCTGAGAGATAAATCAACTTTGACTCCAGATATCAGCAAGACAATACATATCATTATCAGCAATTGGGACTACTTCACCTCAAATTCTCTTTTGGTTATGGTGCTTCAACCACTTGTTGATGTGATCAGTTGGCCAGAAAGGGCCAATACTTTGGTTGGTGATATTTAGAAGGAGATGGGTACAGTTTATAATCAAATTTGGAAGGTTGATTCATCTAGCCACCCTTAATTCCACTCTTACAGAGCACACTGACTTAAGGTGTTACATACACAAGCCAAGATATTCAATGATCCAATCTATGTTGTTGGATTCTTCCTTGATCCCAATTATTGTCAAGTGGCTGTCTCATACTCTAGTGATCAATCGTATGACCCAAAAACAACATAAATCTCGGTACAATTTAATGTGCATTATTTTAACAGGAGCTCTTAATACATAATATTACCTTCACTATAGCTCTCACACTCAAACATATATTAAACCAAAGTTATTAATCATCTGATGAATCATCATCATTTTATTTCTCTTTCATTGGGAAAGTAAGAGATTGAATCTTAGTTATCTAAGTTACAGTCTGAAAATGGCAACCCAAGTCTACCCACATACCACAAGAGGTTGGTAGGTCCTGAAAAGTCATGTTTGGCATAATTGAGGGTGGTTTTTGCCACAAATGACTTTTCAAGTTGATGCGGCCAGAAGGTTTTTTACTTTTATATTTTATCCCTATATTTTGGACATATGAGTTCATACTATACTTTATGGGTTGAAAGTATGGCTCTAGGCTGTAATTATGGGTTGATGATATTGATTTAGGATGTACTTGTGAGTTAAGGATATGGCTTTAGGTAGTAATTATGAGTCACAGTCTAGGACAGCTCATTCTGGCTAAATATGAAAAAATCTGTACCACACATAGCCGGTCACAGTTCATCCACATTTTGGACTGGGGCAAAAGCCAGGGCAAAACCAGATCAGACTGTGATTGGGTCTAGGTCATAACAACTGAAGCTATTTGTCTTCCACAAAGGTTAAAGCCGTACTATAAATGGATCCAACCACATGGATGTGAATGAGGTTGGGAGTGTCATAGGTCAAGGCTGCCACTATCCTATACCAGTATATTATACTATAGGTATAGTATAGCTGAACTATACTATTAGTATACTGAGAGCTATACTAATATAGTTGGACCTATACAGTCACCACTTGCTATAAGCACCATTATGAATGCATCAATTCTGATGCTTACAAAGTGCAATGCATCATTTCAAAATCAGCATAAAAGTATGTCTGGGGAAAAAGTGAACCTGATGCTTATTTTGGGGAAGAAAAACTGCATTCAAGACAATGCATTCTTATAAACTAAAGGTTTTGGACATTTTTGACTATCATTGTAAGTGTATCTGGCTTGGATATGCATGGTTATGCTTATAAAACGCACCAGATCCTTGTGAGCATATTTTCAGAAAAGCAAGGCTTTTAGCCTATATGCTAAGTGTCCAACTTAAACCCCCCACATTTTTGTTTCACCAAAATTTGAGTCCTGTAGCAAAATATGCTTATTCAATGTGTGCTGATATTGAGCGGCAACTGTACTATACTGACAAATATACCCAGTATATTTTGGCTATACTATAGTATATTGGGAACTATGATATACCAAGTATAGTTCAAATCCAGTATGGTATAGTGCAGTATAGTATAGTATATTGGCATCATGATCCTTGCATATACACATCTTCCACAGTTGCATGTTTACTATTTCTGTTACATCCTGTAATTTGCCAACATTGTACTAAAGACAAAAATAAAAAGCAAAAAATAAAGGACAACCACAAGAAGGAAGTTGAACAGCACCAAATCTATCAACATACCAAAGATCATGTGTCATGATTGTCAAGTTATAGTATCAATATACCAGACTTGAGGGAACCAAATACTGATGTTGTAAGTCTGTCTTGTTTGGTTGTCCTTTGAAGAAATAATTGAGATTCAATCAAGTGTTGGAGCTTGGAAAGAACAATCTATAACAATCACATCAGGCAAGAATCCATACAGGTGCAGGCAAGTTTTGGTAGGTAATCTTGATAATTGATTACTGGTCTCACTTATTTAATGTGAATTTTGATGAGGCATACAAGATTGTCATCAACCACAATGAGATTCAGTGAAGGTTGGGGTACTCACATGGGCACATGTGTTGCTTGAGCTGTACAATTGTTATTGTGTTTGTGTTGGACTCAGAAGATCCAAGCTGACACAATATCTCCAGGGTGACAATGGGTGGCCTGTTTAAAGGATGATCAATCCATATGATGGCCCGCCTTCCTGAGCTCAAAATTCTGTTTGAGCTGAAGTGAATATTTGTTTCAAGCAAAACATTTCTGATGTGCAGCATCTGAAAACATGTGTCAACAAGTGTGGCCTCAAGGTGGACCCCTGATACTTGATTGATCAGGTTTTCAAACCACTTGGGCTGTTGAGCTATGGAGAGTGGCAAAGTTTAAAAGGGTGGCCCACACATTTTTTTGTTATCAGCTCATGGCAAGTTGATAAGCAGGTATTGTGGGTGAGAGAAATGAAACATTTTGGGCAAAAGCCCTGTACAATCTCACCCCAGAATTTTGAGATAGTGCCCAAGTCCCTTGCTGGTGGGAGGACTCATGAGGTAACTGTACCTACAGGGCCAAGCAAGTATGGTGGGTAGTGTCTAAAAGTGTGAAATGTTGGACTGGGCAAAAAAATCAAAAAATGATTACACTAGTTTTAAAAATGTCTGTCACAAATTTTTCATTGAGCACGGGCCCAAGCCTGGTGGTTGAGTTTTTTCAATTAAAAGTGGTGCCAAAGCATAACTGGGTTCAGATAAAGAAGCAAGAAGCCTGCAAGCAGTATGCAAAGCTGATGCTGTGTGGGCTCAGCTTGATTCAGATTATCTCTAGATCACCTTCCAAATGTAATTAAAAATGCTCAACCACAAAGATTGGGCCCCTAGCGTAGCAAAACAATTGTGACAAACATTCTTCAAACTACTGTACATATATTCAAATTCCATACATAATGTAGGTTTAATCATCACACCAGAGGAAAGAGATCCCATCATTAAGTGGTGGTCTGTGGATCAGTTGATTACCAAGCTCCTGGTTCAATTACATTGTGACTTTAATTGGATTGAGCTCATTTGGTGTGTCAAACTATGTAAGTCTTTTTTGTTGGAAATTGCTTCAGGATATTGAGAACACAGCAAAGAGTATTCCAACCTTTGAGAATCAAAGGATTTGTTTGACAGGATCAGGCAAACTTATATCATGTACAAATTTGATGTTTCTTTTGCTGCTTGCAAGACCAATAAGAAAATGTTTGATCTCCAGTAAGTCAGACTCTTCTTGATCTCATACATGAATCATATATGGAGTTTTTCATAGTTTGTTATTTTTTACCCAATTTGTTTGTTCATAGGGTGGCCTATGAAGCTCAAACCTGGTCACAACCTCAACACCAAAAAAGATATGTCACATCAAACCTTTGCTTGCAACTCTGCGACCAATGCTGCCCTCGACGTGGATTTTTTTCTATTTTTCCTTATATTCTTATCAGATGTCAACTTTTCTGGTTGGTTTTTGTCCTTGCTAGCCAGCAAGGTCATAAAGTGCCAATATGTGTCTCATCAAATCGTTTGTCGCAGCCAATCCCGGCTCGCAGCCCTGCAAATTGTACTTTGTAGGACTTAGATCAGTTTGTCTCTGCACGCGGACGCGGCCGCGCAGGCTTTGTTAAGCTAACGCGGCTCGACATCATGATTTGTTTCCAAGAGACTCCTCCTCAAACCAACTCGATTGAAAGACAGATCTTGATATATACATTGAGGCTGGTTTCTTGGCCCAAAACAAGTGATAAGAGACTAAAGATCGGCGCCAGATTCTAATGATACATAAACCTTTTTCACAATCGCTGGAGCTCGATGGCTTTCAAATCCAGTATAATATTAATAGGGGCTCCTCTAAGTCCTCTACCAATCCAACCCTTGCTTCCTAGTACAGATCACTTCTGCAGTTCTGTCGACTTATCGTCAAGCCAAATAAGCCATGTTTTGAATCTTAAAATTGAACCTGCAGCATTTGCCTGGACGCGTAGCGGTATGATAACTACATCGTATAAGTTTTGAAGAGGTCTAGCTCGAGGACGAGGGCCAGTTAGCCTCAGTGCAAGTATCAAACTCGTCATTAGATCAAAAAGATTTTACCATTCATCCCGAGACGTGCAATAACAAGCTCACTCAGAACCACATCAAGTGGCCCGATAACACCGAACCACTCCGGTGAGCCTGAGGGTGCTGCCCAAAATCAATGGAATTGTTTTGATGAAACACGTCTTCTCGACCGCACCTGGCCTGTTTATTACCAACGTTCCGCATGTAGATGTGAAACAATACGTCGAACCCCTGTAGACTAGGCAGCTACTGTGGATACACACGGATTGGACTGATGATATACTTCGTTCCGGCCATATATCTCATTTTGGTCAAGCAGCTCTAGAAAGTAACGGAATGTCAGGACCAGGGAGTCTAAAAGGCAACGCATGAAGTTTCGTTGCTAGAAAACCTCCATATCATGGCACACATTCGCGACCCTTCACCGCAGTCATAATTTTGCCTGACCCCAGTCCGCTGTTTTCTAACTTGCAACATCCATTGATACCATACCCGCAACGTCTCTCCCACAACTCGCTGTGTCAATCAAGCCTTCCCGCCAAATCCCGTCTCTTTCGCACTGACAACAACAATCTTCTTTCCGTCTGCGTTTGGAGGTTTCAAGTAGAGAGTTTTCTTACCCAGGCTTCAAGCTCACAATATCGAGAACAATGCAAGCACAGGAGACAGGAAGAAAATCGCCTAGGAAACATCTGCGTTTCAGACTTCTCAAAAAGATGTTGACGATGAAAAAAAATGATGAAAGAAACCCTGTGCAGAGCGAGAAGCAAACCGGAGATCATTATAATCAGATGGACGGTCACGATGTACATTTGAGCAAGCTAGGCGGTTCGCAAGACGAATTTTTAACATACGTCGCAAGAAATCTGGTCGATGCTGCTTCAAAATACTCTTTAGTGGATCCAGTAATCAATGAAAAAACATTCACTGCATCCCGGAGACGAAAATCTGCACCTCATAATCGCATCTCTTCCACAACCAATGAACTCCCTCTCACCAATCTTGGTACTCAGACGCTAGAAAATCGATCCAGTCACATGCCGTCTAACAGCTCCTCCATAAGAATACCGACCCATTGTTCATGTAGATCCGTGTCCAAGACAAACTCGAGGCCGACATCAGCCTCTTCTTCTTCTCGCCGTTTATCTATATATTTTTTACCATCAGAAAGTCTGGATCTTGAAAGGCTCACCAGTCATGACCAGAGTGACATGCCACGCTATATATCACGATCTCCAGTCTCAGATTCAGATTTGGAGTATTTCTCTTTTCCCCCTTCCAGTCAATCGCACCACCAAAATGATGAATGCATCAATCAACTTCAAGATGAGCAAGAATCTCCTGCCAGTTGTAGTACGGCTGTAGGTCAATTGGAAATCCTCTCGGAGGATGATGAAAAAGAAGTCTCTTTGGAGTTCAAATCATGTAAAGGAAATTATTCGTTATATGATTCGGCGAAGAGCTCGGCTCAACATTATGTCCAGTTAGGTATCAAGGCCCACGAGGATGACAATCTTAAGCGCTCCGCATCCCTTTTTCGACGTTCAGCAACGGAAGCGGGAGGCTGCGGGCTAGGAATGCTGATGTGGGCATTGTCACTTCGACATGGGTGGGGTTGCGAAGTAGATACTATGAAAGCCTATTGGTGGCTCAGACTGTCTGCTGAGACATTTGTCAACGATCTGAACGCACTGAAATCTGAAATGACGCACATGGATCTACTGCTTGCTGTCGACGAAAGTGTGAATCTTGGACAAAGCCAAGAACACCGTACAAGTATCGAAAGGTTGCTTAAGGAGTGTAGAGCAATCATCTCCGAGCTCTTACTAGCCTTATACGAACTTGGTCAGTGTCTTATGATGGGGTGGGGGTGCCCAAAGGATAAAAAGCTGGTAAGCATATTAGAGTCCAACTCAAAGCTGCGTTTCAGTCTGCCTGATGATATGAACTCTTTCAAATCCTCATAGGCAGTTCAGTATTATACATTAGCGGCGAAGCTGGGGGATCCTGATGCACAGCTAGGTCAGCTTTTCCTTTTCGCAATCACTTGTTATGTAATGCTGATAATCAGCATGCTTGGATTGGATATCTGATATCTGTAGAGCTGGGTTTCTGCTATGAGACTGGAAAGGGTGTTGAGAAGAGCTCTAGACAGGCGGCGAAATATTATCGAATGGCAAGCATACAAGGTGTTCAAATGATGGGGTACCAGTGGATCTGGAAAGACAAGGTAAAGAAATCCATTAAATCCTGTACTCGATCTTCTCAAGGCACTAAAATGTATTCCACCAAATCATCAGTATGATCCGCCTGATAGGACCTAGATTCACGCTCGCCAGCTTTCACAACCAAATAGTACAAGACAAAGGGCCATAATTCTATTGCGAAAAAGGTTTCCTTGCTTTGCAACACTCTAAAATTCAAGAACATTATTACGCGGATTTTGAGAAATTTTGTCTAAAACAAAACATGTTGATTGGAACCAGACTTCCATAATCAATATACCAGGAGTATTTTCGTTACTTTTTCAACTTTACAACACCTCATATTTAAACTTTATATCCAAACCATTAATAATCATTTCATAATAATATTCATTCTACACAAAAACACCTAGCAGAATCTGAAATTCTAGTCGCGATACCAGTAAACAACAACTTAATTTTGTCTTTCTCGGTGGGAACCCAATGTGATGATAGGATTGCATCCAGCGTTGCAATGGTATGTTCTTGCCAACCCCAGCTGAGAGTAGCCCTTATGATATCACTTTTTACCCTAGTTTTGATTGAGTCAAGGTTTACTTTGATCCACTTTCGGTATCTTTATATTCTTGATCAATTCACTTACGCAACTATTTTATGAGCCTTGCCTAATCTGTAACCTATCCTTTCAATAATTTGTCTAGAATATTTATCTTCTAGAAAAGTTCCTAGAAGATTATTCCTATGTCCCTCGATCATTTTGCGACATTTTACGACGTCTCCACGCATACCTATATGACACTGGAGCATGAGAATAAGATCAGTGAAATGAAATATCCCAAAATCGAACCACCCCTCATGCAGATACCATTCCACATAAGACCTCACTGGGCATGTTGCAGGGGCCCTGTGGCCAGATTGGGACCCCAATGTGCACAAGTTTTTGGTTTCAATGATCAATCCGTTGGAGTCATTTTTATGCTCTCATTGTGCATCAAATTGATTTTCACAGGATGATAGAAGCACATACTTGGTCCTGAAACCAAAATAATGAAGTCATTGAATTGTGGCCCGGAGTAGTGCACTATCTCAATATTTCCAGCATGATTCTCACTAGGGCCCTTGATTGATCCATAGGTATCTGTCGAAGTGGGATCCATTACTTTCAAAATTTGTGACACAACACCTGGTACAAAGCCTGGATGAGAATCTAAACATAAGACTGTATCTGTAAACAGATTTTTTTAAATAAATTTCACTCTGCTGATTGGGGTTGAAATGAAATGTATCGTTCAGCTCTTGATCTGTAGTGTAGCTTGGAAACAAAGGGGTGGCATTGTGAGTTGACGATTGCGCTCAGTTATGATGGGCTGATCGGGAGATCACGAGTAAACCGGTGGGATCCGAGCCTAGGCCAAACCCGATGCCTTTGCCATTTTGCTGAATGTCCAATTTGGTGCTGGGTCAGGGTGAGAATTCCGACTCGACCCCGTGTCGACTTACATAACACTGTTCACCGCGTCTCAATTTTTTTGACCTTCTTAACCTCTCTTTCCCAATTCCGTAAGATTTCAAAGTTCTCTCACTAAGACGTCAAGGTACATGTCCGCAATTCACTCCGAAGAAGACGTCGATGCTACCGCTGCAAGCGATCACCTATTGCCGCGACTTTATACCGACACGCAGGGATCCCGCTCCCTACCAGCACATCTAAGACCATATGGTCCTCTATGGGAGCCGCCTTCATTCGTCCACCCAGTGCACTGCGGAGGTGATGGATGGCAGATCGAACGAGGCCAAGTGGGATTAAATCCGATCACGAGAGCACGCATGCAAGCTGCGGAAGCGGACTTATTGTACGGCCCTGTGATGGATTTGGTCTGTGATGTGGGTTGGTACAAAGGCAAATGGAACATGGATCAAAGGACGGAAAACCCACGCTGGGGGGGATGGTTCGACGATCTGGTCTTGAATTTTCAAGAGCTTTCTACTTCGCTCCTTGATGCCGGGCAAATTCAGCCGTATTTGCCCCAACAGCTCAAGATCCCTCCAGCTATAAAGTCTGAAGACCGATCCGAGCGCATTCCGAAAGTCATCTCCAGCAGTGCACCTTCCTTGCTCATTGATAACCCTGGAAGTAATGGTCGAGGATCGTTAGATCTGTATGCCGGCCCTCTGGAAGTGACGGGCGTCGTGCAGGACAAGGAAGAAACAAAGCAAGACAAGTTTCGGTTCGAATTATTTGCTGGAGCTCTTCTAAGTAAGGTGATGCATCTTCAAAAGTAAAGATTGTCTGGAAAAAAAATTACCCTGTGGCCTGTTTCATCAAGGTTCCAAGCTTGTATATCTCTGCCCTAGTCTTGCTCAGCGGCATCTGATTCCTTTATTTTCCTTGCAGATCAGCTCGTACCAGGTAAACGCGGAATCATCTTTAATGCAGGAGGACCGGTATGGTCCTTAGATTTCTTACCAGGGGTAGATTGTTGCAAAAAGGAGAATTGTCAACCTGGCACAAGTCGGGCCCACGGAAGGCCTCATCTCGATTATCTCGCAATCTCAACCATATCAGAAGACCCTGGTTTGATACCACCTAGTGAAATGCGCAAGCGTGGTATGGCTACTAAAGGAAGCGTACAAATTTGGAGCATACCGATCATTGAGCCTGAGATCTTGGGCTGTCCTGCTCGTCCGGGTCGATGGACACGTGATACAGCCAAAAACGCGAAAACCGATATAAATACATCAAATCCGACTGCAAGTCTCCAGCAAGAAGACCTGCAACCCTATCAAATTCCACGCTTGAGGATTTTGCTGGCCTTGGCAAGTGAAGCGACTGCCGTCCGATGGAGTCCTCGAGGAGGTGCAAACGAAGATGGCGATGACCGGGGTAGTCATGTCGAAACGTACGCTGCATGAACTCGATACATCACATCACGACTTTTGCAATGAATTGATCGCAATTTTCAAACCTCGCTATTTGCTTTGTTTGCGCCCGGAAAAAGTCAGTAGAAAAAGGATCATACGATCACCAGAGGAGCTAATCACCATGCTTTTATCGAACAGATTAGCTTATCCTGCTTGGGACTTCTAGCTATTGCGTTAGTTGATGGTTCCGTGGGTATATACGCCCCTCCAGATCCCACCATTGCAAGATCCGGCCTGCTTCGCGATTCCCCGAAAAACCCTTCATCCGAGCCCGATGTCTTATTGCGTAAGTGCATTGACTTGTCATAAATTCCGAAATCACTCGCAATATCATGAGCTTCCTCTGATACCTGATCACACCAAACAAAAAGTCAATCTCAAGCCGCGTGCTCGATTGCTATTGCCCAATACCACCTGCTTGACTTTGGAATGGGCAAATCATGATGCCATCGCAGGCGGATGCACCAATGGTGAGATTCGGTTTATATCCACATTACTTTACGATTTTGAAGTTTCATGGTTCCGGACCGCGAATTTTGATTAGGTTACATTGTGATCTGGCATGTCCTTGACGTCTTGACGTCTGTCGCGTCGACCTCGAATGTGTCCACCACACCTTTTGAACCAATCAACATTCGGCCCACCCATTATATCTCGTTACACGCTGCACCCGTAAGGTCTTTGCAATGGATCCGAACCCCTCCCCTCAACCAGAAGGGTGAGCCTGATACAGACCAAGACCCCAGTTTCTTGGCATCCACGGGGTATGATGGAAGCCTCAAGCTTGTTGATACAGACGACATTGCAAGTTCAGCAACTTTAATTCACGAAAGAGGTAGATACACTCATATTTGATATGCAAATGAAATTACTGCTACGCAGACCCTGTAATGAATTCAAGTTATTTGCGGGATCTCTTGTCGTCAGGTGAAACGACCTCACTCGCCTTCTCTCCGACTCTAGGCTCTCTACATTTGGCCGATTCCGATTATAGTATCAAGGCTATATGTCTGAAACCTAGGGATCTGGGGGTCTCCAAGAAAATATTGATTCAGCTAGGACTACTATGGGTGAGTGGAGGTTTTTCACCGGATCTTCTGTACACCTTTGCGAATTTCAAGGTATTTGGCTAATTATGGACGTCCTGACGGTTCTGTAACAGCAACTCGCAACTTCGGACTTACATTCCTTCATTGCATATGCCGGAGCCGATGGTGTCTGTGGATTAGCATCAATGATCAGACCGCAGAAGTACAAGAGTCGTGCGGTCAGTGCAGATCACTTTTACGTTCCTTTGGGTTTTTAGGCGCTTGAACTAACTCGCGCATGGACACATCAGACGATGTGGGCGCCGAAAGTGTTTCAGCTCGATTTCAGTAGGAATACTGGCGAACTCAGGATGCTGGATAATATCCAACCGGATGTAAGTGAACACACTCCAGGCGCCGATCAAGACTTGCCTCCATGGCAAGCGTATATGATCGCAGCACTGACTACCCTGCTGATATTCATTTGAACTTATAGCCACGTTCGAATGATGGTACCGCGGTGGTCAACGAAGTCATTGCGAAACCAAAGAGTAATAAAGCCAAGGACTCGTCACGCAAGGGTGGCAAGCCACGGACAGGTCAAGTGGCTCAGACAAACAGTCCTGTGGGCATTTGGCCACCGATAGTGGCGGTACATTGTGTCAGTTGGTGCCCCTCAATCAGACGGGCCACCATATTGGCGAGTGGAACGGGGTGTGGTCTGGTACGGGTAGATGCTGTCGAGGGAGGCTGGCATGGGAAAGGGATGCGATTTGGAGGAATTGACGAATTAATGGATGGAGCGGCTGATCCCAACAATCAGACTGCCTGCAAGGAAGAAGAAGATGAATACATGGACCTAGGTGATTGAACTAGCAAGGGTGTTGATTGAAAATCTGATCAAACGTAGCCAGGAGGATGTGACTCTTTTTCCTGTTGCTTGTAAGATGTGTCAACTTGCCCGAAAAGATCCTTGATGATCGTGATACAATCTGTTTCACTATGAATCAGGTTTTCAGCATATGATCAATATCTTGAAACAAGGATCCTTCTTTCATTGGAGTTGACAAAAACTCCAGTAGAACTCCACAGTTTCTCCATAAATGATCTGGTTGTTCAGCATCCTTCTCCATCATGTTGTGACTGTTGGGGTGCATATCTGGCAGTACAAGTCCAGGAGTATTCTAACCACACAGCCTGACATGACCCCTTGTGAATGACCAAGTTAGCTTGTGTGTAACAATGGTATCGACACAACTGGCCAACACTAAAGGGGACTTCGGCTTCAGAAAATTCATTCTTAGCAGTGTTGGAGCACACTCCAGGGAGGCAATTAGTGATGTGGAAGTATGAAAAGGGATGATGGCCTGCTGTTTGGTCCACCCAGGCCATCCATCTTGCCCTTTGGGTTATGTTTCAAGAGAACAGCGTGTGAGATGTGCAAAATGTCGACTTTCAAACATCAATGACTTCTTTACGGGCCCCCCTTCTTTACTCACAAAATTTGGACAATGAAAATAGGCTCTTGGTAAACCAAGAAGGGAGGCATTTCCCTTGTATTCCGTCCATATGTACTCAACACAACAGATAGATGCACTAAGGCCCTTGAAGGTTAGTTGCCACAACCCATCTCCTTAAGTGGAAACCCAGGTGCATGCAATTCTTTTCAAGGCAATATTTTTTTCCCAGAAAAATACAATGTGGTAGTACTTGAAGAACTGTGCAGCACAATCCAGTGCATTTGATCTGATTAGAGTCTAGAATCCCATGCTGAAATAATTCAGTTATATAGGGCACTATCACTTAAATTTCTCAAGTGATGTACTCCAGATGTTGTTCCTTATACAATATACAGGTGGTTTTAGATCCTTGGTTCTTTGTGTTGAAAAATAAAACCCCAGCTTGTTATGGAAAGATTTGCATGGGTTTTTGGGATGAAGATTGGCATCTTGTGGACTATGGATCATTGTTTGGATAATGTCAAATTTGAAGAGATCCTTGTGGCTAGATTTCATGAAGTCATTTGAATGGTTTACCATTGCGGCCAAGTGTCATCCGGTGAATACGTGGATAGTTTGTGGCACACACAGCTCAACCCATAAAGCAAGAGCGTCTTTTAAAAACACTGATGGGTGTAAGGACTCTATAAGAGTCCTTCACTGAGGTTCTGGGTTCTTTCTTGCTGGTCTCAATGGAGAGCTGGAACTTCTGTGTTACGGTACTCAAAGCTACATATGTACGTGTACAAGCAGACACAAAAAGTTTACGTCACCCCAGGCCCCAACCAGCTTGATTCTGCAGTACACCTCTTGGGTTAGTGAACTGGTCGGGCCCAGGGGGTGACGTAAACTTTTTGCGTCTGCTTGTACATAGTTGCCGTACATAGTTTTTTTTGGTGGGTAAAAAAACAAAAGAAGTATATTTGAAGTATTTCGCCTGCCAAAAAAAACTATGTACGGCAACTATGTACGCGTACATAGTTGCTTTGAGTACTGTAATTTATTACAAAATTAGCTCCAGAATGATCCCGTGAGTAGCTCTCTGATCTCAAAGAGTCAGTACTTGTAACCTTTAAGAGAAAGAACAACAATAGTAAAAGAGAAAAGATGTAAAGAGAATTCTCACCTAGCTCCAGAATGATCCCATGACACTGCAGGAATCATTAAGTGTGAAACCGGATTGAGCAAAGTCGCAATGTCCGGGTCCGCGACTTTCTTCAATTGCGGATCTTGTTTGCCATAGGTTTGCTATAGGTTTGCTAGCTTGCATCGAGCTGCCCTCGAGTTGTCCGCCTGAGCTGCAGTACATGTTATGCATGTTTTTCCTTTCAATATCCTCAGACCACTCAAGATCATGTATGAGTCATGAGCTTTATCATGTATATGTTACAAGAGTCTAGACATATGGTACCTCCATTAGTCCATACTACAGCCTGAGTGGATGACTATGTAGAGGGCAGCTCGAGACAAGCTTGCAAACCTATGGCAAACCCATGGCAAACAAGATCTGTGATTGAAGGAAGTCGCGGACCCGGACACCGCAACTTTGCTCAATCTGGTTTCACACTTAATGATTCCCGCGGTGTGAGTAGCTCTCATATAGTGAGGATCATCTGAAATCTAATTCATCTGTCTATATTGCCTATATCCTAAACCCATGTATTCATTCTACATGTAACTCCTTACAAAACCACAAGTGCAGTCTCAAAAATCTTGTTGGTAGGTTGATGGTTGGAAAAGAACTGATGGATTTGTGACACAAGATATTGCAATGACTTCATGTAGAACCCAGCAAGACTCACAGAAGACAGCTGGTATTGCAATGGAACTTGCATTTCATTCTATTGCTCAGCTGATTGGGGTTGCTGGATTGAGTTACAACTGGGAATCACACAAGCCATTGGGAATTCTGTGAAATCACTGAGATGCTCGGGTTTTGTGGAACATTTGGAACCTGCTTCTTGCTCATAACAGCTGATTTTTGTGAAAAATGGGTTTGATTGTGGTTGTCACTCCATATCAGTCAAAATTTGGTATAGAGCTCAACACAGTTGATGATTAGCACAAATCTGCTATATCAGGTGCACTATATATGCGTATTTTGTGTGGTTGAAAGCTTTGATCTACATTTCACAGCCAAAAATAATTAGTGCCCTCAACCTTTGCATTAGCCGATGCACACTGCCCCCATAAGTGAAGCAACAGTCACTGAATCAAGCTGAGGTACCTTATGCTCAAATTCACGGTGACTGCCATCGTCTATGTATACCACTGATCCTAAACGCAAATAATTATTGAGACGGGTCTCGGTTTCAAATCTACTGATGTCCAGCTGATTGCATGCCAGGGATTCGTATTGGACTCGGCAATGCGGAGGACTAAGAAGTAAGAAGCCTCTTGATGCAGGACATCACGTCTATATATTTGCGGCCGTCAGGGACTTGGTAGCTCCTCACTGCTGGCACCGGCGCATCAACCGAGAGGTTCAAAAGGGTCCTGTCGAGGTTTTGGATATGAGAGAGCGGATGCTACGTAGCCCTATTACAAAAATCAACTTGACCTGCTAAAAGATTCTGTACTCGGCCGAGGCGAGACTTTAAACGAAAAAGGTTTGGGGCAGATTTACAAATTCTCTGCGGATAGTCAATTAAATTCCACATCACTCTCCCTTTGCTGTTCCTGTGTTCCGCCCCCATCCCCAATCAACGAAAAAAGTAACCACATCCACCACTCGTTTTTAATCTTTACCGCAGGTCTTTTGACCACCCTAATACAAACCTTTCACCATCTTCTTGATAATATCCAAGCTGTTTTCGTACTTCAAGCCTTGAACTTGAGGTGGGAAAGGAGGAATTCAGTTGTTGTGGTGGTGATCTGGAGCTGTTATCGTTTAAAACTTTTCTTCTGTCTCTGCCGACCTTGCATCATCATGGCAGCTGTCATGGGGTATGGTCACGGAATTCCACATTTCGGCATGCAAGCCTCCAATCGGGCGGCGCTCGCTGCTGCTGCTCATAGTGTTCAAGCTCACCGTGTCTACGTTGGCAACTTACCTTATGCGGTCGGATGGAGAGAGCTGAAAGACTTTATGCGAGAGGCCGGTGAAGTTTCTTTTGCTGAAGTCCTCATGGGTCCTGATGGACGCAGCAAGGTTAGTACAATTTATCGCTTATTCTGGTCACACGCCTTCTGTACTCCGTATCTGACCAAAATCTGTGTCTTCCTAGGGCTGCGGCGTGGTTGAATTTTCTACAGCTGACGGAGCACAAAAAGCCATCGCGGACTTGAGTGATCGGGCTCTTTTCGGTCGTCCCATTTTTGTTCGAGAGGTCAGTATCAATAACCATATTGCAAGTGATACTGAGGGGCCTGTTGAGCGTTTTTCAAATTTTCTGGACCACAGGATCGCGAGACTCAACCGCGATACGGTCATCAGCCTGTCCATCGGCCTGGTCCTAACGGTATACACAATCATTACGGGCAGCACCATGGGCAACACCATGGGCAGTACCATGGGCAGTACCACGGGCAGTACCACGGGCAGGGTGCAGGTCGGCAACTCTTTATCTCAGGTGTAAGCTTCCCTATGATGGCTTCGGTTTAGCTGCTTGGTAGTCATTGACCACCCATTATCTGTAGCTGGCTCTTACTGTCACTTGGCGTACTTTGAAGGACATGTTTCGTCAAGCTGGGAACGTTATACGCGCGGACGTTACCGCTGGGAAAGGAACTGGAACAGTGTTGATGTCTAACGAAGCCGAAGCTCATGCTGCTATTGGTAAGCGCAATGAATATCTCTCAATGAGCGTATCTCAAACTTCTGGTGCATTTGGTTCAGCTACATTCAATGGTAGTCAAATCGAAGGCTCTCGAATCATGGTCCGTGAAGATAGATTTGCAAACCACGGGCATCAGGGCGGCTATTCCCATCAGTACCATTCCAACAACTACGGGCCGAATGGCAATGCCAATGGCTTCCATGCCGTCCGAAAGGCTCCAGCTGTGGACCAGACCACTCAACAGCCGTCAACCCAGATCTTCGTCAACAATTTACCCTACTCGACTGATTCCGCGACTCTGTTATCTTTGAGTCCGAGTGATGCGGTGCATGCAGAGGTGATGATGCTTGCTGGAAGGAGTAAAGGGATGGGTGTTATAGAGTATGCTTCGTTGGAAGCTGCACTGGCGGCGCTGGGTACGTGAATTGGCATTGCTGGGCAGTAGGCCTGGAGATATATGTAGCAGCCGAGGCTCTTATGATGGCGAGCCAGGTGCGGATTAGTCTCTCTGACGCTGATCTGGTTCAATTTGGTCCTGCAAAATTCAGGAACCTTGCAAGGTCACGTCATCGGAGGAAGGCCTCTCATGGCCAAGTACAATGAACGGTGAGTAGACATTCTGTGACTCATTCACTTGAATAATTTATTGATGATCAACTCAAATTGTACAATATAGTTGGCACGAGTTTTCGGAAAATGCCGCCGTACCTGCATTGTAGACGAACAAGACAAAAGAAGCGCACCATGGATATGCTACGCTTCCATTTCAGAATCAATGCAATTGGAATTGCTAACTTCTTTGACCTGAGGCTGCAATGTCTATCACATCAATGTGCTTAGGCTTCAATTTATCTAGACATAATACACTTTTCTCATGGGTCCGAGCGTGTCCACCCCAGATTTGATTGCAATGACCCACTATACAATCTAACTACTTGTTTCGTTTCATTCTTTCATCTTTTGATGTTCTTTTTATTCAAATCTGCTTAAATTGCTCCCAAAAATTATTTTGTGTACATTCTGACTTCTACTCGACGTGCTATTCATGATCAAACCATGCATTGCAGCTTCCCCGAAATTTCGTACAGTTTCCCTCATTGATATTTCTACTTATGTCTTCGGCGAGTTCGCGCACAAAGGGATATGAAGCTTACTCACCATCATCTCTCACAGACACAGATTCGGGTCACTGTGACATCTTCTACACAAAAACGCGATGACTGCTGTGTCCCATTCTCGGCTGATTTCACGCAAACAGAGTCATTTTGATCCAATTTGACGAGACAAAATTAGGTGCAAACGGAAATTTGTTACACGAGTGATATAGCGGAACATATCCGAGAGCAAGGAGATCTATCAAAGATCAGCTCGGCCGAGCAAGTTGTATAAGAATAAAGGTCAAAAGAAAGCACACATCGCCGAAAAGTTGATTCTTTTTTGAGTGAACTCAGATGAAGGTGTCGGACAGTTGGAAACTAAAAAGGGGTATCTTCACACTCAGACTCGTCCTCGTCCTCGTCCGTTGCTTCTTCAGTGCCTGATATCAATTGAGTTAGGAAAGAGGAAAACCCAATCATCAGAACTAGTTATCATGAACAGGTAAATAAATTTAGGAGGAAGACATACCAGTTCCAGACTGGGAATCTTGAATTGCGGTAGTATTGGACTGCGACATCGGGGAATCCGCGCTGGAAGTGGTATTCTTGGTAGACTCGTCATTGTCTGTAGACCCATCTCCCTCTACCCCACCGGTGGCACCCGTGGCAGCAATCCGCGAGGCTGCTATTTCGCGAGTGACTATAAAACATTTTGAGGAGCACACTTTCATCAGAAATTGCGTTATAACGTTTGAGATACAGAGCATCTATTTCTCAAGCAACTTACCGCATCCGAGAGATGTGCCACTCTTGAGGACCAAGGCTGGGTGAAAGAATCGTTCGAATCAGCGAATTAGTTCAAACTCGGTTATGTGAGGATAAGAGATGACATATGAAAAAGAAGCTTGGAACTCACGCATAGCATAACAAGTCAGATTCCCTCCACAGGGTATGATGGCGTATTTTCCATGATCACATATAGCAAAGGAACCTTTAATACAACCTTGCTCTCCGTCCTTGCAAGGTGCATCTGCTGTGAGAGTAACAAATTTAGCGTTTAGTTTTTGAGTGGCTTTGCCGTTTTCCAATAGATCGCTAGGTGAAAAAGCTCTTCTTTCGATTCGATGTGCTTCTTGTTGAACTGATCGGGAATCGCACTCTTTCGCATATAAACTAGAGAGTGAAGCTACAAATAATAAGTGACTGAAAATTTGCATGGTTGAGAAAAAGTTTATAAGTTGTGTAGCTAGTTGAAAGTTTAACAGTTTTTATGGCAAGGGTTGATATTGATGATTGGATGAATGATGTAGCCGTGAGGAGCCATTGGCCTCTTTTATGATCCAAATGGTTCAAAAGCAAAAGCTCAGTTGTCTTGCCAGCTTTCTCCCCTTTGTCTACTTTTACGGGTTTGACAAAGTATTACCAGTAGTCAGCCCTAATGCCGAGTTGACAAGACAATAATGTCAGCAGAGTCAGCAAGGATATGATAAGTGTTTGGTTTTGAAAATTTCGCACATAGACATAGTCTGGTAGTATTGCGGAATCGTAAGATTACAAACGCGATCTTGCCAGTTGCTTTGTCGATAGCCTGCACGTGAGTAACAAGTTCAAGTCACTTAACAACAAATCAACTTCCGAGCTTTGTACTTTAGCAGCACGAACACAGCAAGAAAGGCTCGGTTCAAGCTCAGCAGTCAAAGTTATGCCGGTAGGACAGTTCTTGTTATCGACTAATCAACTGGCCACTTCAGACTCATGACAATCTATATCCAAAACCATGAATCAAGTCCTCAGATTCACAGACTCAGCTTTGTCCATGATCCAGAAGCGGAGAATCACCCCAATCTAGGCCATATCATCATGTCAAACCGCCCCTTTGTATGTCGAAAAATATGTTAAGAATGAGAAAAGATACCACACCCAGCTAGAACATCTACACGCTATGAGTGGTTTTTGTTTCTGAGAGTGTTCTGCATCATGTGGTGTCTTCAAAAGTACTGACTGATCAGGCATATATTCTTGGAACAAAACAGGCATCTTGTTTGACACATTCCAGGAGCTTTTGAGCTGTCAAAGTCACCTAAATCATTTGAGTCATTAGTTGTCTTGGAGCCACAATCAACTTTATATTCTTGTGTTGATAAAAATGATAGAAGAATTGGGAGTTTGTTGTATGGGTTGAAATGAAAAGGTTTCAACTTTAATCTTTCAAATTGGGGGCAGCCAGTAAGCCTTTGAGATGCAGTGGTGTGAGCTTTGTGTGGTGGTAGGCTTTGCTATTCAAGGTGTTCAACTCTTGATAATGACAAACAACCATGCCATCTCTTGCCATCTTGTGATCAATACACTTTGATAAGCAAAAGGCAGTGTAGTATCAAAGAAGTGGGTTTATACAAATGAGATATTGACAACAGGAAGGGGCAAGGACTGACCTTGTCATTACAATTTTAACAATCAGCTCATGGAGGAATACCCTTCAGGGACTGTTTCTGGTAGCAGTAGCAAGTTTTATCAATTCAGTGACAGTAAATCTTCATCTTGATCCATTCAGAACCAGAGAATTGAATCCAAATCTTCTTCTACCCTTCAGACAAGAATCAAGCGATGATCAGTGTCAAGACTTTCTTGTCGCTGCCATGATGGTTGAATACAAAATTGTAATACTTCACAGCTTGCAGCGGGTCTGTAGACCAGAGGCAGGATTCTTGCATACATATTTGACTTTGAATCGACTTGGATGAAACTCACGTGGCAAATCCATTTGTGCAGTTCTTGGGAACATTTCAATTTCTGGAGTCCCGGTCTGAAGATTCAAGAAAAGCAAAGGAGACAGATAAGATGTTAAGTGATACTGAAGAATTTAAGTTTAAGGCCTGAAGATGGAATTCTGAATACCCGGTGACAAATGAGAAATCAAGGATTGAAGAAATGACAACCGATCGATGATTTTGAAATGAAAAAAGGTCAATCAGATGAGAAAAGGAATTCATTTTGTTTTAAAATTGTAAAATAAGCTCAGCATTCGATGGAAACAATTCTCAACTTCAAACTTCAAATCTAATCTAATCACTGATTCGAAAAATTATTGTACGACTCACTTCATCTCACTTTGAAGTTGACAAGAAATCGACAACTGATTTACTGATCCATCAAACTTACTTTGCCCTTCATCTGGGTTCTGCATCAAATTGTAAGTGAGCCCCTTTCAAACCAGTGCCATTGTTCCTATTGTAGTCAATTCCATACATTAGAAATCCCTTTATGACGCGTGTCGATCAGCTATTGTATTCGATCTGATGTCATCATTGACTTGGACATTCGTCTTTCTGATCGACCATTGTCTCATTTACTTTGAGCTATTCATCAACTCAAACTGAATCTGATTATACTTGATTTCACACAAAACAGGATTCCTCTTGCTTCAAGTTGACCACAACAGTCTCCTACATATCCTTCTCACCTCATTAAAAGCAATCACAATTCCTACTAACATCCAATCAACTGGATCATACAATCAGGCAGGATGTCCAAGCGGACGACTCGACCAAATCTAGTCGATCTACCCTCTGGGGTCATCAAAACCATCTTTCAACTTGAACCAGAATTGGTTCCATTGTTCCTTGTCGGTTTAGGGTCCAAAAGCCTTCACATCACCTCTCGAGCACTAGTCTACGAGAACTTGACTGTTGATGATGATCAACTATTACTCGATCCGATCGCATCACCTCTGACCTCAACACCATCTTCATCAAAGCTGATGACCATCTTATATGGTCCTCCTGAATATGCAGAATGTGTCAAGACCCTCATCATGGTCCCATCAGCTTTGCCTAGTCGTCTTCAAGCTCATCAAGATCGCCGGAAATCCCAAGGGATGTTTGAAATGGATGATGCGCTCGCAGAAGAGTCCACAGAACCTTTTGGACCAGACGACGATCACTCTACTTCATCATCTGACTCATTTCCACGAACTAGAACCACCTCATCACATTCACCGACCCGTCACTTTAAGCAAACTTCGTCTCACAATGACTCTTATGAGATCTATGATTCATCAGCAGAGACTGATCGAAACCTTCTTAACTTATTGTCCCGACTCGCCAACCTAAGGCATTTCGAATGGGCCACTGACCGTTTACCGATGAGGGATCTATGCGTGGATCTTGGTACACATTGTCCGAATTTGGAGCGCTTTACTCTTAACCTTGTCAATCCTAAAGAGTCTGGTCGATCTCTTCATCCTACGGCGACACTCGATAGCTCAATCCTAGGCCCAATCCCCACCGTGGCTACTCATGACCATGGTCCACAACTTAACCTTTGGACACGAAGACGGTCACAGACAACCTCTACGCTAGACGATATGGATTCTGATTCAGGGAATGGGATGATTCAGACTAAGCCCATTCGATGGGATGCGGATTCGGTTGACAGTTTACCATCAAATCTCACGCACCTACATATATCTTCCCTCTCTAGTCTCGGGTCTAAAAACCTATCAAGGGCTTTTGAGGGCATGCCATGGATCTCATTGACTGAGTTAAAGTTGAATAACACACTTTTTGTTGATGATGAACTCATGACATCTGTTGCAAAGGGTTCCAAACGCATCAAGGTCATCAAAATTGAGAACATGAGTGGGACTAAGCTGACTGAGCGGGGTATAGAAGTGCTGTTCAATAGCCTGGATGACTTGGAAGAGATCGAAATTCTTGATGTAGAAGGTAATTTCTTCCTCACCTGTATCTCTACTTTCTTCAGTCGAGCTTGTTTCAAATCATATCATCTAGATCTAGCTGTTGATCTTTCTGGTATATTCTTCTCCCAGGACGGTTTTCAAAGAACGGATGGTTAAATTTAGATGATTTACCACTAAGTCTCAAATCCATCAAGTTTGGATATCACGAGATTGGTTCATATCATAGTTGGACACTAGAGCATTTAAACCATCTCACCAGTTTACTTTCTCTTTACCCTAATAAACTGGAACGACTCTCTATCCAACGTTTTGTTCCTTATCCAGCTCTAATTCCCGGTCGACATGCGATGTATTCAGAGTTATGTACAGGAAGTAGGACAAGTCCTAAGAAGATGACTAAGGAACAAATCATGGCTATAGTAGAAGAAGGAAAAAGTTTGAAGGAATTAGATATCGATTGGTGGTTGATCAGCGTTGAAGGATTAGAAGTCATCGTTAAAGGTTTACCAGATCTGGTCAAGCTGAGGGTATTAGTCGATGCACCTTTCCAACGAATCGTAAGTCCTATCGTTTTGAAAAGTTTTGAACAGTCAAAGATGTGGTCTGATACACTTTCGTTTTCAGATCGGATCTGCCGCCTTCGTGCACAGTAAACTGCGAGTCTTGACGGTCTCAATTCCTCCAGAACACACACCTTGTTAGTTACATTGTCTGTTTATTTACAAGATATCGCTTTCAAGAACTCTCATGCTGATGAATACATCTAATCTTTATCTCACAGCTGTTACCCAATTAGTTTCACCTACAAATGGATCGCCAGTTTCTAACTTCAAATCTAGCCCAACTTCCCCATCTGTCTGTACAGAGACAAGCTCAGTAGCATGTTCTACTGTTGGTTCATCTCTACCCATACCGACTGTTCAATCACCCGTACCTGTTAGAGATATCAAGAAATTCATTAAACGTGCAGGGCATTTGAAAGAGATCATTTGGACTGGAAGGGGAGGATTAGGTAGTTGGAAATTCACTAGGACTTGTGGTAGTGCAGTCAATGTGAAAGTAGAGTTTGTACCGATCACAGAATCCTTACCTACTGAAGCATTCACATACGAACCTAAACCAACCCATCAAAGCACAAGAGGATCGAGTATCTCAAGTGCTTCACCAATCTCAGGTAGAAGGAATAGTTCAGCTAGTTCTACATTTGGATCATATGGATCATCTAAGAATGGAATCAAACGTCGTACATGTAGTATTACTCATCCGAATGAAAATGGTAGTAGAAGAAGTTCAGAAGCTAGTTTACAATCTCTTTCAACTTCTTGGGGTAGTAGTACATTGAATTTAAATAAATTTGGAAAGAATTCGATTGGATTCCTCGAAGGGATCCCAGGTACACCTGCTCTTTGTGAAATCGAATCAACTGGAAATTTGAATGGAATCGAAGTCAAGAAAGATGTTCAAGCACTTTCAGTTGATGAACTTCATCATCTTGATCTTGCTTTTGCTTAAACTTATCTTTTATAAGAGTGATCTGATGTATTAACTTTTTTTTCCCCTCCTATTCTTCATTTCTGATCTTCTTTTCTTATCATCAATATCTTAAAAGGTATGATTTGTAGTTTTATGTTTAGTTTTTTGTAAGTCTCTTTTTTACGTTTTGTGTTAGTGTGATGTGTCAGAGATATATTATATACTTATCTTCCCTAAAGTGGAATAAGGACATCATGTGATTTATTGTTGTTCAGATCATCAATCTTATTTTTGAGATTTGGTTTTTGGATTTGGTTTGAAAGAAAGAGGTTTGAAATTGTGGTGTTGTTGTAGTATTTTGTAATGGTTTTGATTGTGATTTTTTTAAAAGAATACTTTTATTACCTTTTGATCTTTTTACTTGTTTTAAAAATCCATTGATCTCTGCATCACACTTTTTAGAACATTTTTGCTGGCTCATGTTGCAGATGTGAATTTCCTCTACCAAAAGTCTGCTTCTCACCTGTAAGAGTTGGATAATCATATGGTGTATGAGGGTAGTCCAGATCTCACTAACCAGGGTAGTTCTCTGCAAGGTAATGTATGGTAAGGTACCAGAACTTCATTTGATTTTCTGTCTTTTCTTGCTGGTGCATGTTTGCAAATGACTGATATGGGTGATAAAGAATTTACAAACCTATTTGTACTCTGTCTTATTTCTTGTTCTTATGTTGGTATCAATTATATGGCTCCCTAGGTCCTGTTCATCCTCCTAGTCCCATCAAACTCCACATCTAGCTGCAATAAGTTGGACATCTGAAACATAGATTTAAGAAATTTGATAGTTTGATTTTGTGTGTTATTCTTTGAAAGAAGGTGTGGTTAATGTTTTTGATTCTGCAATTTTTTTTTCTTATTCATAAATCCAAGAGAAATAACCTACAAAGATTGATTTCCAACATAAATGAATTCAGTTAAACAGTCAATCTCAAGAGCCAATGATCTTCTCTTCAAACTAACTATTCTGTCTTATCTTAGCCTACAAGGACTAATCTATATCCTCTCACTTTTAAAATTCAGCACTAGATTTTTACTTTGGAACAGTTTTACTGGATGTTTTTATTGGACACAGAAAATGTGATGTCAGGTTTTCCAACAACCAAACAGAATTGAAATGTGGCCTATGGGAACTACAGATCTCAAGAATCCCTCTGATGCAACTTCAAGGGACTTCAATCAATCATGACACCACATCCATAGTTAATGAATAGGTCAAAATTACATGGATTTCAATTAGATAATTTGATAGTGGTGAAACAGTATAAAATTAATTACCGGTGTTCCCAAAGCCCGCGACGGTACACCGGAGTCCATTTCTAAGGGCGGGGGTGAGGAGCGGGGCTGCGCGCACGTGTCTCCCAGAAGGTTGTAACCAGTTACAAGGTTGGAAGCTTGAGAAAAGTTTTTCTCCCACGCTTCCCTCCACTTCATCCTTCATTGGGAGACCAGTCAGCCCTGCGAACTTCTCACCCCCTCTCTCTCTTTTTTCTCAAAAGACTCTCAATTAAAAGGTCAATTTCGTAGTACATGACTAGAGTAGAAAAATCCAAGCAAAAATTCTTTTCGTTTTACAAATCCCATAGGACAACTCTAGCAGCAAATCAAGCAAAGGAAAGAGAGATGACTAAACAGAACGCAACTCTGTCGACACAAAGGGCAACTAGGAATTCGTCGAAGGCGCTAGAAGCCACTAAACAGACGGTGGTCCGGGAAGCTCCGGTTGATTATCTGATCAAAAATGACACGTCCTTCCACGGAGAAGAGGAGGAAGAGACTGAAGGAGAAGGCGGTGAAGGAGAAGGTGGTGGAGAGTACGTGGAGAATGAAGGAAGGGAAGAGGAGGAGTTAATCGAAGAAGAACCCAAAATGGTTCAGCCTAAAGCACCAATCAAACTGGTCCTCAAAATCGGACGCTTCGTGAATCTAAGTCAGTCCCGGGAAGCTTCGGATAGTGATTCGTCGGCAGAAGACTCTGTTGTCGAAGAGCATTCAAAGAAGCGTGAGTAATGTTTCCCTATTTTCATATCATTTATTCCAGGCGGAGAGGAAGTGGTCTCGTACCAATCCTTGACCAAGAGCCCGTTAGCTTGGAAGCTCCCCCCTTGGGGGGTTGAGCAATATCCCCGTGTAGATGTGTTTACACTCCGCCGTCAGGTGTTTGTGAGGCCAGTGAATGGCTTTATCCCGAGGGAGATTTTATCCCAGTGGTGATAGGTGGCCGGAATGCCACCCAAGTAGGAGAGGCAAGGAAGTGTTCTCCAATCCGGAGTCCACCTAGCAGAGATGATGCTCCTGCTCAGCGGTCTCACTCCCTATAAGTTTCAGAGTTGTTGACTGTCTGCATGTCTTTGTGACTCACTTCGTAGATGTCGCACCGGTCTCGAAGAAGAGGTCAGGCGACTCGTCCAAGAAGGACAAGAAGGAGAAAGGAAAGAGCTCTGAACGCCTAGCTTGGCTAGAGGAGATAGTTCAGGAGGTGAAAAACGGTCATCTCAATCGGGTGAAACGTCTCCAGAAGCGCTTCTATGACAAGTACGGTGAAGTCAACACCTCGAGCTCAAAGGAGAAGAAAGGAGTGAAAGGCGGAGAAGAGAGAGCTAGAAAGAAGCTATTGAAGCAGAAGAAGAAAGAGGCGACTCACAAAAAGAAGAAAGGGAAGAAGAGAACAGCTCCAGACTCGTCCTCTTCAGACTCAGATTCAGCCTTGTCTGCAAAAGACTCTGACTCTGATTCTCCAGCTCCAGCTCTAGCGAGTTCTTCGGATTCTTCGGACTCTGATTCGGCGAAGTCCTCCTCCTCTTCGGATTTGGCGAGGAGTGTTGTTAAATCTAAGAAGTTGAAATTCAAACGCTTGAAGGTGAAGGCTTACGACCTACCTAATCTTCCCAAGAGGTGGGCAAAGCATTTCAAGAAGATGAACGATTACGTTCCGCTCTCGATCTTCTTACGAGAGAACGTCAATAGCTTCGGTACTTCAGACCCAACGGTTCTCAACCTGGCCAGCGAGAGAGCACTGCGCAACCTGGAGATCGAAAGAGATCGTCTTATGGACTTCGGTGAATTTGTGGAGGCCAGCAATCTCAAGAGTCAGTATGCCGCAGACCTTTACGGACACACGGACTACGCCAAGTGGATTCAAGAGCATGTGAAGATTGTGACCAAGATGAGTGAGAAGTACGGTTGTTGGATGGTGGCCCTACGATACCACCTGTACATTAGATCTTCGGTGTTTCGGAAGCATGAGTCAGATGCGCCAGATCCCGGTGAGAAGCGCAAGAAAAAGGAGGAGTCTTACAGCTACGTGTGCTTACCGGATGGCCTCCAGCCGGACATTGAGGCAATTGCAAAGTGGCATTGCGACTCAGCGGGTGATACGGTCTACACCTCAGGAAACCCGTACGCTCTAGGGGGGGCCAAGTTTGGCTTCAATTTTGCCACGGGAAAACCTCGCCCGTTGTCAAGCCAGTCAAATCCGAAGGCGTCAGGCTCGGCGGGAAACCAGAAGAACGGTCCTGGACAATGGAAGACCAGGAGTCGAAACAGGGGGAGATCCCAGAGAGGAGCGTTCCAGGGGGGGGGCTAATCAGACGTCGAACCACTCGAAGCAGTCGTTTGGTTCCTTTCGTGAGTACTGATCATTGCTCAGAGGAAAGCACAGTGTGTTTATAAGATCCGAAGCGCTGACGTATACTTGTCTCGCTATGGAAAGAAGCGCCACAAGCCTCGACTTCTCAGGCACCACAGGCTCAGAGTGCGACACTAGCGCCGGAGCAGAGGGCAGCTTTTGTGCCGTACAAAGCAACCCCAGCCCAATCTAAGTAAGTTCGAGGCTAGGATTAGATCCACTTCATCAGTTGTCTGTCCTGGATACTGACGGAAAAAAAAAAAAAAACCCTTTCTCCTACCTACTTACCACGTGAATCGTTGAATCATTCTTCTCTGCTTGTATGAATTGTGCGATTTCTTTGATGGTGGTTTTCACTCTTGTTGTTACTTGTATTGGTACGCGTTCAGAAAGTAGTTGTTGTGTTCGTGGTTTGCAATCATAAGTCTGAACCATTTCTTGATTCATCGTAGTGGTGCATAGTGTTTTGGAGAGAGTCGTGCGTGGTAAGAGTGTGGAGATCTCGAGTGCAGCTGAGGTAGCCCCGCTGTCGGAGTCCGAGGAGTCAGATAGAGAACACAAGCCTGTGAACCTGAAGAAGAAAGTTCTACCTTTAAGTCAGAGGATACTGTATACAGTCCAGGTGGCTAACAGGTGGCCTGCAAGGGTGTCGTGCGATATGGTGATCCCCGAATGGATAAATGTGATGAGGAGGGTGGGGATGGAGGATGACATCCCTTACATAGTCAACGGCTTTACCGAAGGATTCTGCTTGGGAATACCCCAGCACGACATCGAGGGCATGGACTGGTTTACACCTCCGAACCATGCGTCAGCCACAGAGGTACGCCGAGAAATAGAGGCAACACTGTGGAAGGAGGCGCATGCAAAGAGAATCATTGGCCCTTTCACAGCAGAGCAAGTTAGAGAAAGGTTCGGGTTCTTCAGGACGAATCCGATGGGAGGAGCTGTAAATGGAGATGGTTCGATTCAAATGATCAATGATCTTTCGTTTCCAAAAGGAGACCCGAACGTACCTTCCGTCAATTCCTTCGTAGATAAACACAACTACGGGACCCAGTGGGACGACTTTAACACGGTGGCGTTGTTTCTACAAGAGAACCCGGGTAGGTGGGAGATGGCAATCTTTGACTGGGCAAAGGCTTATCGCCAACTACCCGTCCATCCATGCCAACGTCGGTTTCTTTGCATTCTGGACTTCTACAACCGTATCTGGATCGACTTGGCGGTCGGTTTTGGGGGAGTGGCGAGCTGCGGAGTGTTTGGGGCTCCGGCGGACGTTTGGAAGGTGGTGATACAGACACTCCTGAAACTGGCGATCATCTTTCGATGGGTGGACGACAATCTGATCTTCAGACGCCCGGGGGACAAGGTGTCGCTGGAGGACATTTCTAACCTGAGCACCGCGCTAGGTGTAAAGTCCAATCCAAAGAAGAATCACGACTTCGCTGATGAACAGCGTTACCTTGGCTTTATATGGAATGGAAGGGACCATACGGTCAGACTACCTGAGGAGAAATTGGAGGAACGACTCCAATTGATTTGAGACTTGTTGGTGGTTGACTCTGCTTGGAAATTCTCACAGATCGAGAGCGCATTGGGGAAACTGAGCCACACGGTGAACATAGTGCCACACATGGCGGCATACTTGAGGTCCTTCTACAGATGGTTGAAGAGCTGGATGAACAAGAATGCAGAGCGGAAAGTACCATCAGATGTGGAGGATGACCTGCGAGAATGGCTCAAGTGCTTATCTGAATTCGACGTGAGGCCCTTGGTCACGTGCGCCAAACCAATTGAGGTAGGATGGGTGAATGACGCGTCTTCCTCGTTTGGGTGAGTGTTTTTTCTTAGCACCATCGCTGTTGCTAAGGGAGGAACCGTCAGACCTGATGTGCGGTATTCCATTTGCCAGGATCGGGGTTTTAGTAGGCAAGAATTGGGCCAGCTTCAGATTCGAGGACGGTTGGCAGACTTTGGAACTGAGAGAGGGCAAACGCACCATCGCGTGGGCGGAAACGGTCGCAGTGAGGCTAGGCCTCCTGGTTCTGCAAAAGTTAGTATCCGTAAAGGGTAAGACCTTTTGGGTCGACACCGATAACACCACAACCAAAGCAGGTTTAAGAAAGCGTAAATCTAAAGATGGGCTAGTGAACAATGAGTTGAAACGCATTCAACACCTACTAACTCGGTTAGGCTGTAACGTCCGGCAACGCCGGGTAACTTCGGGTGACAATGATGCTGATGGTTTGTCGCGAGGGATCTTAGGAGACTTATCCTGGTACAACGAAGTTATTATAGAGGTACCGGAAGATTTGAAGTTCATCCTGCGGCAAGTAACCCTCACAAATGAAAATCGGCAAAAGTTCTAGAAACTCGACAAGCAGTCCGAATTCGAGGGTAGACGTGGCTGATGTGCGAAGACTCACCAGGTGCTATGGGTCTTTTAAGAAGAATGCAATGGGGGTAGATACCTCGAACAAAAATGCGGTACAGAGCCATTACCTGAGGGGGACTTGGGCAGATGGGACGTTAAAACATTATAACTCAGTGATTGTAAAGTTACATAGATTCGCCTTCCTGAACGAAGTCAAACCGGAAAACCTCTTACCCATCAAACCGACAGTAATGAAGCATTTCGTAGTCTGGGCGTCCAAGAAGGTGGAAACAAAGGCGGAGGAGGACGAGTCTGTAGGATCTAAGACCCTCAAAGCGTATGTTGCTGGGGTGAAAGCCTGGCATTTGTTTCACAACGAAGATTATCCTACTGGCGTTGACGGTGCAGTATCAGCTCTCCTGAAGGCATCTCGAATCGTAGAATCGGAGTTCGCATACAAGAACAAGGTCAGGCCACCTGTGCTCATTTCGGATCTGGTGATACTTCAAAAGGAACTACCGAAGAAAGGCGAAAAGGGTCTGGCAGTTCTGGCCCTGGCACTGGTCGCCTTCTGGGGTACAGCTTGTCTAGGAGAACTAATATCGGACAACGAGGCAGATTCAACACCGAGATGGGAGGATGTAGCCTGGGGAAAGAACAGTTTGAACGTCAGAATAACTCTTAGACACGCTAAAACAGCGAAACCAGGAGAGCTCCAGTACATACATGCCCAACAACAGAAGTCTTGTCTGGACCCGGTAGACGCCTTGAGGTTCCTATACAACTTCCGTCCAAGAAACCCGAGAGACAAAGTCTTTTCAATCGGTTCGGGAAGCCAGAAGCACGTCTTAAAGAAAGCCGACACGATGCAACTCTTAAATGACATATGGAACGCTCACAAACCGAAGTCCAAGCAGAACCTGTATGGCCACTCGTTTCGAATAGGCGGGGCGTCTTTACGCTGGAACCTGGGAGCGTCGAGGGAGGCGATCAAATTGTGCGGTCGATGGTCTTCGGACGCCTATAAGATATATTTAAGGAAATATTCAGACAAGGAATTGGAGCAAACAAAGTCTCTGTTGAAGAAGTTAAAGGAGGAAAGGTTGAAAAGGGAAGTTAAAGGCTCACAAGGATAGTTCGCTCAGGTGCGGTTGGGGGAGAGGAAGGGAGACGTGCGTAATTAAGGTTCCGATTACAGTCAGCAGATCCTCCCATGTTCATTCCGTTTATTTTGTACACGTTGAGTTGTACAGCCCATCGGGTCCGAGTGTATGAAAGCTTATTCAGAGAATACAGGGGAGTAGGTGGCATCAAGTCTCAATAAGATAAGGTGCGAAGAGAGCAAGACTCACGTAGGCTCGAGTTGTGGGTCTTCTCATGGCTCACGGCTCCAAGCATACGTGAGTTGAGGGGCTGAGAAGCCCGCGTTCTCTGAGAGTCCTGTTCTCGCCTCAGAGGGATTGGAGGTATGATCTGGTGATCTTTTCATACCTCTACACCCCTCTGAGGCCCTCCCCACACCACATTAAACACAAACTCTAACAGAAATTAAAGTCTGTGTCTACGGTGGTAGAACAGCTCTTACGAGCCGTAAGCTTCTTAGAATCCGGTAGTACTAGGATTACTAAGTACATGAACTTCTAGTAGGTGATAGCAAATCACACCCCTGTAAGAAATGGATTTCAGGAGAGAGGTACAACCTGCTCAGAATAGCAGGGTTCAAGTTGAAAAACATTGAACCTGAAATATGGTTTAGAAATTGCTTGGAATTCATGATTCATATTCACAGGGGGAAAAATAGGAGCTCACATTGACGTGAGCAGGGGATGCTTTCCAGATATCTTCAAAAATTCTTCAAAAATTCTTCAATCCACATTTTTTGTTGCACTGAGGTGCTCAGCCTTTGATACCTATGTTCTGCTTGAGTTTGCCAAAGCATGCTCATCTTCATCTTGCATGAGCATCCCTTGAGCATAGATGAGTGCTCAGCACTCAGCTGGCACACTGCTGTACACTCAGAAATGCCTGAACAGTTCAATCCTTTGAAAGAAAAACCTCAGGTGCCAAGAGGGTCTTATGTCCTCAGACTTTGAGATCTCATCCTTTGGGAGGGCCCTCAGTCTTGACTCTCAGCCCACGGAAGCTGGCCCTGACCCTCAGAAACCTGGTAAAAACACAAACTGGCACCAACCTGTTCCAACCAGCGCTCTCAACAATGGGCTGACTTCCTTTCACACTCTCCCAGATTCCCCATGATCCATCCAAATTCATGATCCAAAGTTTGGATCATCTCTATACATCATTTGCTCAAAGTTATTATCCTTACTCTCACTCTTGTCTAAATTTGCTCATCTTGTCATTGTCATTGATACTCATTCAGTTTGGATCTAATTCAAAATTTCATCACTACCCGGAACATTAAAAGATGTAGACATATTCAAGTTGTGTAACACCATCAAATCCAAATCCAATCCCATCAGGTGAATCACTTGATATAGAATCACTCTTAAGGCTTAATCACTTTTAAGACTTATACCAAATGGATTAGGAAACAATGAAAAACCTTTAACACTTTCAAATGAACAATTCCAATCTAATCTAATCAAAACCAATCAACATAGAAGTCAAAATTTAGAATGGCTTGCTGCTTGAGCTTCAGAGTTTTCAATTCATAGAAGAACAAGAAGAAGGAAGTGAAGATTGGAAAACATTTGATGCTATTAGACGTGCTAGTAGTGAGGATGGTAATGAAAAGCGACAAACAGTTTGAGTTGATTTTGTTTTTGGGCAAAGTTGCACTTTCATTAGTTGGGTTTTTTTGTTTCTCTCTCTTGCTTTGAGTTACATGCATGGTTGTAACTTCATTTTGAAGTGTTGTATACTTAGTTTCAAATACGCTTTATAAAAAATAATATAATCTCATTTCTTAATATGAATGATTAGTAGTCAAGATGAACAAGTTTGTAAGAAAGAGCAAAAACAAGATATTAAAAAAATTGAAAATTGATATATATAAACTGATTATAAATAAAAAGAGTGTTGGGAATGAGTATAGATTATTTATAAAAAAAAACTTTCTTGACCTGATTAACAACACATAGTTGGACAGTACAAGCTTTGGTACTTCCTAGGTTTGATACCAGTGGCTTGTCCATCTCAAGATGAAAGCTACAACACGCTTGGCTCCCCCTTCTTAGTAGAATCCTGAAGCCATAACCTACAAATTGAGAAAGCTATCAATCAAAAGATGAAGGAAAAATTCATACGATTCATCAGGATGTAGATCATGTAATGCATCTCCTCTCATCCTGACTTACAGGTCTTAATCTGGGGGGGCAAGGTGGCTTTGCCAAGGTCGAGTAAGGACTTGAAAGTGGTACAGAAGGAGAACTGCAGTGAGCTCTTGGTGTGCTTCTACGTAAATAAGACAAAAATGATCAGTATTTTGAATATATGCAATAATTAACAATTTGAGCAATTATAGAGAAGTATATGTACCCAATTGAATCAGCTGGGTACATAGATTACAAAGTGGGAAATTTCTGCTGATTGTCAGTTTGATTGTTGCTTGGTGATATTTTGATTGGCGTAGGTGATTTATACCTAGTGAGTGAATCAATATCAGGGAGAATCTGCTGTGAGTATCATCACTATATCATTGATGATGAAAGGACACACACACCGCACTTGCTTGCTCAGTGGTGATTGAGAGCTTCTCCAATTGTCAACAGATGAATAATCTGCTGAAGAGTCTGATCCTCTCCTTGATCTTGGTAAATTCTGATATGGAGTCAATTTGCCAGAAGGTCCAAAGAGAGCAGTGATGTTGTCATCAGTCATCAAACGGATTGAGATTGGACCTGAGATTTGTCCCATTTCACTCTTCGTACTTCCAGTTCCAGTTGAAACTTCAGAGCTGATACTACTATCTTTTTGGTGATGCCAAAATTGTAACCTAGACCTTCTTCCTGCATTTGTAAGTGTGCTGGTCCGAGATAGATGGGATTCAATTGAAGCTGGTTGGCTAGAGGCTAGAGATGACTGATGATCTTGATCTACTTGCACAGGTGCCTTCAAGACCATGCTTTTCAAGTGACACATAATACCAGCTCGGCTAAACCTGCGGTTATTGATGTCTTTTTTCACTTTTGTTTGTGGCGGCTCATAAAAACGGGTTCAAAGAGGTTTTTCAAACATGTCCAAAGTGTTGCGCAATGAAGGCTTGGAATCCGGATCTAGTGATTTAAGTGGTGCCCAAGAGCCCATCAAATTGGAGACTGGTCCATAAGACAATAGCCGTGGTTTGGGAGTTTTGTGAACAGGGCCACGCAGATCAAAGGAAGAGTCGTCTTGACTGACAGCGCGTTGACTGGAAGGATTGCAAACAATGGATAAGGAGTTAGTAAATGCCATTTTAAGTATGGAGGAAAGGAACAGACACTTGGCCTTTTGCCTCACATGGCTCCGCTTCCAATTCCAAAAGCCCATCTATCCTCATGCTTAGACCAAGAAGAAAGTCAATTAGACATATCAGGAAGAGAGATACACCAAGGTGCAGTCTTTTTCAGATAAACAGACGGTGAGGCAAAGGAAGAATTGGAAGACATTTTGAGACGAGATGATGTGATTTTTATGACAGGCGCATTGATACTATTCGGGATCAAATGTAAAGGACAAAGACACTAGCCAATCAATCCCGAGTTGAACAATCCCGGTTTGAATTGTTGATGTTAGCTTCTAATCAAAGTTGAGGTTCAATGGAATTGATCAAACAACCACACCAGTGATGAAAATTGAAGTTTGACTTTAACTTGATCAATTTCTAAACCAATGGCAATAGGGGGGCTCAAGTCCAAATATTTTACTACTTTTATGGTGAAAAACCTTTCCCATACGACATCCCAAATTTTTTTGAGCAGCAAATTTACACAAATTTGCGGAAATCTGCTGCTCAGAAGGAGATCTGAAAATTTTTTTTTAACGAATTGGGAAAAGTTTTTACAGCACGGTACCCCAAAAAACTTTCCCCAATTTTTTAAGAAAAGGCTGCAAAAATCTTGACTTGAGCCCCCTTAATATCAAGAGAAGAGATTGAAACCAACAATCTCAATGTCTTATTCCACTGACCAGGATCAAAATACATTCATCCATCGGAGAAGAATTAAACTATTGGTATCAAGTCTAAAGCCCTAAGCAGATTGTAAGATGATTTTGGTCTTGATAAGTAAAGATTGACATCAATCTAGATTTGATATATTCAAAAATGAATTGTGATTCTGTTTGATAATTTAAGCTGTCCATTCAATAGATTGGAATGCGTTTGATGAAGAGGTGGATTGATTGAAGGTAAAGGAGGTTTTTGTTTGATGATTGATTTTGATTTTGTAAAGATTGGATGGTCGGTTGGAGCAAGGACAATCGGTAAGGGTTTGTGTAAAGCAGAATGAGCAAGGAAGCCAGGTTTGAATGTTGACTTCTCTTTCTTCTTGATTGTGTCCATTTGATAGTTGGTTATTGTAATATTGAAATGGTGAAAGAGGGGTAAGCAAAGTCAAATTTTAATCAGAAGCACACTGGATCACAGGATCAGCAAGAATGATCCGCCCCGTACCCGCATTGCGGCCGGATATCATGTCCAGGGGTGTCAATCAGGGATTGTTCCCATTGTGTTTTTCATCCAACATTTGATTGGGTCTCTCACCACTCATTCAATTTGGTCACTTGACTGTGCAAGCTGAGCATTGAAGGGCTTGAGTTGACCTGAGCGGATGAGCTGGACCTCCCTCAGGCTTCTCAGCTAAGGGATAAAGCCTGAGGGAGGGTTAGCTCATCCGCTCAAGTCATGCTTACCATTTAATCAGATGATGAGCTGCAAGAAAACCTGAGGAATTTTGAAGGAAATCTGTAAACAAACCCAAAACAAACTTGGAGATACGTTGAAACATTCTCTGCTCACATCAATGTGGGCTCCTATTTCCCCCCTGTGATTTCATGGTTTAGAGCTTCCAAGTATCTTTTGTGAGGTCTAAAATTATGATTCAATGCTTATGATTTCAAAATGCTTGCTTTTTTCTAATTTGAACAAAAAAGTCGGTTTTCTTTGTGTCAAGGGAAAGGTGTACAGGTTATTGTTTGTTCCTTAACCATTGTTTTTTCCATATTTTCCTCTTGTTGAATCTATATCAGCAGATACAATGTACTTTTTTAAAAAGCTTTTCTACCTTGTGTAAGAGATTGTTTTCTCTTTTTGATTATAAGACATAGTGCTTTGAGGTTTTTATGACTCCTCATTTTTTTAGCTTGACTTGTCCTTAAACAATTTCACAGAAGTTGTTGAATTCCTTATCAAGATATTTGAGTTGAACCCTGCTAACGAGATTGATATCAGGTAAAAGGTGCAAGAATCAAGAGAGCAATGGTTTTGAAGAATTGTACATTTTTTGCTGATAACTTAACAAAGCACATTGCAACAGCATGTCTAAGGCTTGACCAAAGGACTTGTGCCAAAGTTGTAGCAGTTAGTGGTGTGAGTTGTAACAATAATCTTGAAGTGAGGCCATATATTTTTGCTCTACAATGCAACAGTGCTTGTAGTTTTCAAGTCAAAGCTCCCATTCAAACTCTGGGCCCTCAATGAGCATTTTGCATGATCAAGGCCTTTAGGAAATGAACATATGATGATAATTGAATTGATATGTTATGCAAATCCCAGCTATGTAACCACAAAAGTCAAAATTTGAGTGATCAAAAATTGTTGATTTCTCATCTTTGGATTGGAATGGAAATGCCTTCCATGACAAAATTGAGAAATATGAATAGGCGGTTTTGAGCAGAAGATGTAGCTGGAGTCACATAAATGAATGGCTTGTTTGCTAGAGATGAAAGGGTGTTAATGGGTCCAGACCATGTTTTGGTCAATTTTGGCCCAAACTTCTACCACCAAGTGGGTTGACCATCACTCAAGCCCCTTGACCAAGCCTCTGGTAAATTGTTGTCAGCCCGGAGTACATATGTATGTATCCAAAGACAAACTTGTAACATACAATCAACACTCAAGAAACTTAGTTACATGTACAAGCCTATTTGGACAAGATACAACACATTTCCTGCGCCAGCCCCAACTAATGTGTTGTACCTTTTCCAGATAGACTTGTGCAAACACTAATTACATTAGGGCTGTGGCTGGGACCTGCAAACTTGAGGCCGGCCTTGTGACCAGACCCGGACCTGATGTGACCCAATGGCTTCCAAAAACAGCTCGGCTCACTCAGGGCAGGGCCAGAAGTTGAGCCCCGCGGCTGGGTAGGGGCAACCGGTGATGAGCAACTGGCAGGTAAGTTGTATGTCAGCTGTTTTCCATTCAAACATTGTTTATTAATAGGCTTAGTGACCAGAAAACCAATGCCAACCCAGTTGGGTTGGGCGCCCAAGACACCTACAGGGCCTTCCGGAGCATTGCCAGGCTAGGTCTCGTGGCCTTGGGCCCGGCCATGTGGACCATTAAGATGCCATTGGGCAGACCAGGTCAATCAGGGCTGGGCCCGGGTCACAGTCCTAAATTACATATACACATACACTCAAAACCACATGTAATATGTACTGAACCACCAATTATACCTCATAACTCAGTGTCAAAAGTCACAACACTTAGAGCATCTCCTATTGTCTTGGTAAATGGCTGTGGTAAGGTAACTTTTACTGTACCAAGGGTCAAAATCCCCAATTGTGTCAAAAACATGCATTGGTACCTACAGAATCTGTAGTCTGCAGAGGTGTGTATCTGCAAATCTGCTTGACTTCACCAAGCCAATCATATCACTCATCCTCACACAGTCCCACTCTATTGCACTACACCTGTATGTACCTCACCTTCAAACACCACTTTTGAGGTGTTGGTACCTATTCCATCATGTGAATTCTTCATTTACTCAGATCAATTGTTTTCAAATGGTCATATTGACAATTTGTTGGTTTTCTAATTAATCTTTTTCTACAGCTGTTCCAACAATTAACGGCAGAATTCTATGATTGTGTGTTGCTCTCAAGGTTAAATCTAGAGAGGTCAAAACTGGATTAAACCTAGTTTTGCACGCAAATGAACAAGGAGGCCTGGGAGACCTGTCACTTTGAGGCGGCTTTAACTAGTTTTTGACTTTTGGATTAAATTCAAATGCAACACACCAATGAAGAATTCTACCATTAATTGTTGGAACAGCTGTAATCAATCTTTTTCAATCATTTGTTTTCAAATCAATTGTTATCAAATCAATCATCTTGTTTCCAAAGTGATTGTTTTGGAATCATTTGTTAGATCAATCGTCTTATTTGCAAACTGATTGTTCTCAAATGGATTGTTGTCTGATAGAACATGAGTCTTGAGATTTGCAGTTTCCTTTCTGAATGTACAATAGTGGGAATAAGGTATCTCTGTACAGTACATACTGTACTTTGTTTGATTTAATGCAACAATAGTGGCTTTCCACCGTTCTGTATCAAGTGATACTGTACCAAGTGAGTATTTACAGAAAATTTGCTGTAAATTTACTCAAACAATAGGAGATGCTCTTATACTACATGATATACTTAACACACATATATAATCAAGTATAAGTAAGAGAATTCACAATCCTCTTGGTAAGTGGCCTTGGTACGGTAAATTTTACTGTACCAAGCCCAGAAAACCCCAATTGTGACCAAAGTACAGATCAGTACTTATGGATTCACTCAAAATTTGGTAGAGGTCCAGCAAATGTACTGGATCTCTACCAAGTCAGTACCTATACAATCTACCAAAGCCACCCAGCAAACTTCACCCCTTCTACACACACATCGTTTGATTTTTGTTCCAGTTTTTGTCTTTCATCAATATCAATTCAATTTTCCTTTGGATTTCTCTCATCAATCAATCAAAATGAATAAATTCAATCAAGAATTTGAAGAACAATCAATTGAAAATTTTGAAAATAATCAAGAAAATAATCAAAACAATCAAAATATTCAAAATATTCTCAGCAATCAACATCACAATAATCAAAATTATTCAAAAAAGAAAAGATCAAACAATTGGTCTTCTGCCAAAGAGCAGAATCTAGCTGTGGCTTGGATCCACATCAGCCAGCAACCCAAATTTCAAACAAACCAGAGTGGCAAAGTCTATTTCCTATAGGTCACTGACTATCTCAAAGCAATCTCACCTTTTGAGAAGCAAGATGTAAATTCAGTCAAAATAAGGTAAGCAATTATCATATTGTAATTGATCCCAATGAATTAAGCTGATTCTTTGTATCACACTTTGTAGATGGGCCTCTTTGAAGACAGCCACCCTCAAGTTCTCATCAATCTATGCTCAGATCAAATGCAAGCCTCCCAGCAGCACTGTTGAGACCAATTGGCCAGATCTGGTGATCAAGATCTATGACAAAATGAACCCTCAATATCACTTCAAATTCCTACCAGCTTGGAGGATTCTGTTGACTGCACCCAAATGGATTACCCCATGTTCTCCCCCTGGTCTGTTAACAATTTCAGAGTTTTTTGGTGAGTGTACTACATTGTTGATTGTAACCTAGCTTTTTTATTTGATCCTGGGATGGTCATATGTTATGTTTTGGTTGTGTTGGCTATGTTACTTCTGTAGTCACAGTGTCATTTTACTATTCACTGGCAGGCCAATGAGTTACATTCACCTCAATGCAATCTCAATACAATGTCAGTTCAATATCAGTTTGACCTCCAATTCTGTTCGAGTGGGGGATATGCACAGGCTGCATAATCACTCAAACCTTCCAGACATTCTGACACCTTCATGTGTGGACATGCAACCAAACGTTATTTCAGTTCATTCTGGAGGGTTGCTAATTGTCTGCTACTCTAGGCCAAACATTGAGATTGGATTGAGATTGGATTCAGGTTGTCTTGCCAGTGAGTGGTACAATGACACTGTGAGTCTTTTGCCTATTCAGGGTTCTAATTTGGTTTAGACCCTTTACCTGTTGTAACCAGGATCTGGTGATTAATTTGTGTGAAACATCTTCTTGGTTTTAAAGATGTTTCTCATTATTTGTTTCCAAAGGGACTGTCTTAGATCTTAATATCTAGTCAAGGGTTCTCATTTGCAACCTAGGCTAGTAATAAGATTGATTGAGTATGTCTGTTTTCTATGTAATTACACTCTGGAAAATAGAATGATAGAGTTGTATTAAGTTTAGTATTTTATTTATGTATTATGTGTTTTTGTCAATACCTTGATGTTTTTGCTTCACAAAAACCTCCCTGGTTTACAAGTCAACTAAATGTATTCTGTCTTTCTTTTCCATCCTTTTCTCTGTTTCATGTTGTAATCACTATATATTGAAATAAAGATTTTTTATGATACCCAATTACCCATGTTGCAAGTTCAATGTGCATAGAGCACTCCAAAAGAGTACCCAGCCCTGGCTTGTGTATTAAGTTAGTTTCTGCTGTATGTTGAATAAATCATTTATGTCATCTACCATGGTGGTTAAATTTGAAGTATTCCTAGATGTTCACTTTTTGTAGAGCTTGATTGGACTTTGATATTTTCAGAAGTCCAACAAACTATGAGTCTGACTTGATGCGACATTTGATTGAAGGTTTAATAAAGAATGACCTTGATTGGTAGTTGAGAAGCAACCATGATAAGACAAAATCAAACAAAGACTAGAAGAAAAACAATTGCACTGTTCCTGTGGAGGACACCTTGTATGTTGGGGGTCCTGGAGGGTCCAAAGGCTTGCCTTTGTACCTCCCTTTGTACCTCTTGTATCCCCCAAAGTCTAAGGTTGACCAGGCCTGCACTGTATAGGAAGCCTCAGACACACCTTTTCAAGTTTCAATCCACATCTTGGGGCTTTTTGATCAAAATGTATAGTGGAAAATTCTTTGTAATCACAAATAGAGACATGGGATCAATCTCCCAACCCAGGACAGGACAGCAAAGTTTGCGCCAAAAATGAGTTGTGCTGGCAATTGGCTCAGTGAGCACTGTGTAATGCTGCAGAAGCATTGGAGTGGATCAATATTGGGAAGCCATGTGCACTTTTGAATATGCAGTGACGTGAGCACAGTGATAGAGAAAAAGCACAAGAAGTCACAAGCCAACTTGGCAACCTTTGGAAATTGATCTTGGGTGAACTGTGTAGATGATGAAGCCAGCCAAGCAACTAATTCTCCATGGACAGAAGAGACCAGGTACACTTGCCTGCCATCATTGTAATAAATCTGTGTGATGTTTGCATGGATGGATCCTCAAATATTACTGATCAAGTTCTTCACTGAAAAGAATTGTTTTGTCAAGTGGGTCAACCAGCAGATGAGCTTCAGCATTGGCCTCAGAAGTAGTTTTTGATGGTGAGGTTCATTTTCCTCATACTGGGTCACTCTAAGAAAAAACCAGTGCCACATAGTCTGCTGGCACTGGGCTGTGCCGTAGTGACCAAAACCCCCCAAGCCCCTGTGGTGCACACTGGTGCAGTAATTTTTAAGGATTTCTGGTGCACTGGTGACTAGTGCAGCCGCTAATGGTGTGGAGTGAACTGCACTGTGAGTTACAAGGGATTGGTGGGAAGCAGGATAGAGGAAAACAGCCCTATGTGATTACAGACATTCATCAGACCTTCCAAATTTTTTTCTTGACCCAGACACCAGGTGGCAATGGAAGATGAACTAGCCCTGAATATGGACGACATGGAATTGTATACACAGAAACATGATATATTACTGGCTACTTCATTACATATGTCAAGAACCCTGTATGACCCTCAAGATGAGCTCTATGACAACAGATTAGATTGCATGATACAATAACAAGCAGTGAAAAAAACATAGAACACCTCATAACAAACAAACATAGCCTTTGTCATACTTCCCCTCTACAATCCTCAAAAGACAAAGAATAAAGTGTTGTTCACACACTTACCCAGAGTACAACTTGCATACAATACTGTCCCCATTTTCCATTTAATTCAAAGAAACATAAAACCCAAATGAAAAGGAGATTAATTGCAGAGTCAAATTGCTGGAATTACTTAAAAGAGATCAAAATTCAGCTGTAACTGTCAAAACTGGTATAAATCACACTTGAAAACTCCTTCAGCTCAACAGTGTTGCTCAAAAGCTATAGAGCAAAAAGAGGGCAGAGTTAGTAGAGTTACAAAGAATTGATGGTAGTAGATGCAAGGGAGGATATGAAGGGGCTCTGACCTCAGTATATTCATTGGGTAACATATTGAGGATGTGATGACTTTCTCTAGTGATGATAGGTAAGAGTGTAACAAATCTACATGTTTTGAATTTTTTCTCTGTTTCACTTGGATCATCATCCTTCAACTCCAGAAATCTCGGATGGACAAATTCTACATTAGACTTTTGTGCGACATTTTGTAAACACCTTCGTGTCACTCGATCCATTAATGAGACCAAGACGAGATGAAAATCGTCACAATCGATGAAATCTTGAGTCTCGTTCAATAATTCCCGTAATCGTGCGTTTACGACACAGTCGATTGGTGACATTCCTCCGGACCTCAATGTCTCAAGCTCCTCAAGAGTAGTAGAAGGTAGCAAGACGGGCGAGAAACTACAAGATACGGTCAGTGTTTCAAAATCTCGAAGTCGGTCCATGAGCAAAAAGACGTTCCTTGATTCGGGTTCCGAGGATGCACCAGAAGTGGGAAAATACAGGGGGGAATGAGTCTACATACCTGAACGGTTCTCCATCATCCTTCTCCTCCACCTTCGACCTTATGTCTCTGAAGATCTGTGAAAGATCGGCCAGACTCATATCATCCTTGAGGCTTTTCCGAGACAAGACATCCTCTACAGCAACCCTGATCCGGTTGGATAAGAGTCTCCACCCGTGATGCAAGTACCACCACGAAAATGTTAGATAGCGTCGTTCAGTGCTAGCGTCCATGAGATCGTGCTTTCGTATTACATACAGCCGATCATGTTCGTCTGGCCCATGAGCATGAGCATCGGGATCATCGGCACTGATAACGCTGCTCAGGTATGCATCTCGCCCCAACAAACCAAGTTGAATGTGAGTCTGCATCGTTAGAAGCGCTATTCCATAAAGGCAAGTGAATAGCCGAGTAAAGGAGAGCACCATGACTTCTTTCCAAATCTCGGATCGTTTTCGGAGCGCTGTACCATCTGGTCTGAGGAGTACATCAATGACGGCTTCACTTTCGGGTTTACAAATCATCGATGGAGGAAGGCCGTTCATTCGGTTTGGGCTCAAAGCTGAGCGTTCGGACTCTCCAGTGCTTGAACTAGAGCCATTAAGAGCTGATGGGAGATCTGATTGAGGAAGAGAAGTATCCTCTTCAGGGATCACTTCAATGCTGGGGGGTGGAATTGGATCGTTTGGAATTTCGCTTGCGTTTTCAGAGTCTGCCGTGATATCAGAGACCACCTGCTGATTGTTATTTGGCGTGATGGGCTCAGAGTGATCGGATAGTCGCGGCTTCTTGGTCTGATTAAGTAAATCCGCCAGTCGTTCGACATTCATGGACTCCAGAATCTGATTACCGATAGTGGGGACCAATGCTGTGATGGTAAAGAGGCAGTCATCTTGATTTTGATGGAAACGACGCCTCAGGCTGTCAGGTCAAATGGGTTTTTTGAGTCAGTCGCTCAGTCACGATCATTATTTGTAGCTCTATTGGATGGTCTCGTTCAAGCTTAACGTACTTATCTGTAGTAAGCCGATTGCGGGCCAATTCCTCCTGAATCTCATCCAACTTTGATTTGATGTAAGATACCAGAAGGTAGCCGCCTCCAATCGTAGTGGCCAAGAAAGTTAGAGGTCTACTACGTCGTTCAATGAATCGATTGAGGGCTCCAATCATTTTGAGTGATGAAGGATGAGGAGGAGGTAATGTCTTGGAATGCACCCATCGACTGGATTGGTGACAAATTTCGAAGTCAATACCTGAACTCAGCCTTGGTCTCAGTCAGTCTTGGAGTTTGACTGCTCACGCGCACCTCTGCGCAAATAATATACATCTGCACCGTCATTACCACCCTGCGCAGCACTCTCGATTGACATGTACTTTCTCTGAAGACCACACCAAAATACACCACATGGATGATGAACACCAGAAAGAAGAGCATTTAATCTTGGATGGTTGGCCAAGCAGTGACAGGCTTTGCCTGACCAAAATCCTGTATTTCATATGGCACACCGTGAGCAAACGCAATAGGGGTTGGGCGAAATTTTGACCAACTGGTTTGCAAACCCCATTCAGTCATAGTTCAACACTTTAAGAATCCTTTCGAGATGGCTAGAAAGCAATATCAAAGCCACTCTTAACTGACCAAAATTTTTATCAATCTTTTTGCTTTCCAAAAGAGTAGACCGGTATGAGATGCTTCTTGATCACGCCAAAGCTGTACCTATTCAAAACTCTTACAGCAAAAAGCAATTTGCGCCGCTACAAGCCACGCATACGCCCTCTTGCACCTTTCACCAATCCCCAGACCATTCTCTTCTCACAAAAGCTTACCCATGTACCCACCCAAAATCTCTTGGTGCTGAGGTCAGACCCGTAACAGATGTGTAAACCCAGGGAACTTGTTTTCCTCAATCTTCAACACCTTTTGCCGGGCTTCTCAGAGGCACAAAACTGGTTGGTCAAAATTTTGGCCAACCCCTAATATGTGAGCCCCTTGCCAAGGGACTTACGTCCAAAAACAGATTTCTCGCATGAGGTGTAGCCTGTATTGGCTCAAAAATCTCTACAGCAGCTTATTGGTTTTTTAGGTCAATCAACCTTCCTCAGTGCAAAAGGAAAGGAATATGGCAAAGAGCCTCTACATATGCCTTCAATCTTACTTGTATCAGTCTGGGAATGTGTCCTTTTGGGTGATAGACAAGTGGTCATTTTCACCAATTTTTGAGGGATACAGGCTTTGAGTGCCCCCACCGCTTAGAAGATTTTGAAAAAGACTCACAGTTTATGACCCAAAAGCAGGAGCTCCAGACAAGATTTGGAAAAGCTTGCAATTGAATCATGTACTGTTTATTTGGCAAGAAAACAAGGATTTTAAAGTAGGGTTTTTTGAGCCATTACTGGTTACTTCTCACCCAAGAAATTTGTTTTGGCAGTAAGTCCTTTGCTGGAGCCTTGGGCCTTTGGCAAGGGACTTGGTTAAGTTTGACCGTGAGGCAACTTTCACCGTTGGTCACATCAGAATGACCTTTTTGATGATGGTTTGGGTTTGTGTACACCAGCAGGTCAGCCTCCTTGGCCCTTGGTGGTTCCTGAGATGGTCTTGTTTGGTGGAAAGAACCAAGAAGAAACATGTTTGGTCACCAAAACATGTTTCAATATTGGAAACCATTCACCCTTGTGTCAGGAAAGCTCCAGATGTCAGAGACCAGATGACAACACAGGGTGTTAATGGTATTTTGACACCAATTGCAAATAGTAAAAAACGGGGCACTGGATACCGCAACCGTGGTTAGTCATGCAACAGGTTGCTGAGGACCCTGGAGAGCCCCTATATACTCGGCTTATTGGGTATTTAGGAATTGGCCTTTTTGGGCAAAAAGGGTCCTAATCTTCTGGGTAGGAATTTGGGAAAATTTCAAAAAAATCTAGTAAATGTGCCTTATTGAAGAGGTAGGAATATGTCAAAAAGTCAAGGGAAAAAAATTATGTTGCTTACACCTGGGGTAGGAATCCAGCCTCTGCAGGCCATAACCACCATCAGCATACAACTGCACATTGGGGGGGTTCAGGTCAAAAAATTTTACTACTTTAACTTTTCCCAATTGCGTAAAATTTACACAAAAATTTATGCAATTGTGAAAAGTTATACAACATCCCAATTTTTTTACGCAAATTTGTGTAAATTTATTGCTTAGAAGGAGATCTGAAACAAAAATTTTACGGTCCTTTTTTACAAATTGGGAAAAGTTTTTACAGCACGGTACCGTAAGAAACTTTCCCCAATTTTTTAAGAAAAGGTCACAAATATTTTGACTTGAGCCCCCTTATTACTAAGGGCCCGAGCAGTGATATGGTGGCACCCAGGTCCATCGTTGCTTATGAATACCAAGCCTGGTGATATCAAGTTCAAAGCTGAGATTGGACACCTTTTTCTACAGTACAACAAAGCCTCCATTGATAGATATGATTAAAAAAGGCCCTTTAGATGACTCAAAACAGATTGAGATCAACTTGACCAATGATCTAGCAAATCATCCAAATGCAATTGTACCAACATATTGTGGTTTTGAAGAAAACTGTCCAAATTGCCTCATATTTTCTCATCTTGATATAGCACTGCAGAAATTCACTATGTGTTTCCCCCTACCACATCAATGAATAGTACTGAACCCAAGGCTAACACCATATGGATTCCTCAAGCTTATTGTGCTATGTTGAAAGCTATGAGCCAAGAACAGTAAATTCAGGCAGTTCTTGATCAACTTGCTGTTGAACACGCTCAAGCTCGAAAAAAATAAGCTACCCTCCGATTTTATTCTGTAAATTTTTCTTACTGTTTGTGATCAAATCCTCTCCACCTTGTCTAGAGATTCAATTGGATGTTCTTGCTTCAACTTTTTCATCTTCATCTCTACCAAATTCAAGAAAGAAAAATATTTTTCTCCTACTTGTGATCAAATTCTCTGATATCCACCACGTGTAGAGTTTTGATTTGATGTTCCCACTTTAGCTCTTTCAATTGTTTTCCACCAAATTCTAGAAAAAGCTACAAGTTTTTCAACAAAAATTGTGATGTTTAATTCCTCTGAAACACCCAAAAACACAATTTTGAGGGTCCTTATTCAAATGGAAGGAATTTTGAATTTTTTGTCCCCAAAAAACAATGGTCCTTTTTCTGCCGGTAGGAATCCAAGATTTTTTTTGAAATCTGGCAAAAATCATGTAGGTAGGAGGGCAAAATTTGGGGATTTTTGTCACTAGGGTATATTGGGGCTCTCCAGGGTCCTGGTTGCTGTGTCAGTTGTATCACACATTCCACAGTCTTTTAAAGGAAGATAAAAGGGGGAGGTGCCACTTTGGTTTTGTGATAATGACACTGATTATCACAACACTTCATAAACCACACTCCAACTGTTTTACAAGTCATGATAACACATCATTACCAATTTTATTGTAAAACCTACTCATCACAAGTAATCACAGTTTTGGCCCAATTACATGCTATAAGTGCAATAATTCCATATGTAAAAATCCTACTGGGGCTACATAACCTATGGTGCAGATCAACAAAATTTGACATCAAGTTTTGTGTGTGATTTGCTCATAAGTGTGACAAAATACATGGAGGAGGATCCTGAATCATGTGATTTATGTACTTATTTCTACAACACCTTGTAGATGAGATGATGACCACAATCTCTAAGCCTTTTACTTGCATGTTGGCCTCAATTGTGTTACTTTCTACTTCTGAAAGCTCTAGATGGTAACCGCACAATGATTGAAATCAAAACCCACATGAAGTGTTGTTCTCACTCGAATCAGGTGGCTATATGCAAGGCAATTTTGGAAAGAAGATCAGCTTTTGAACTGCAAAAAACACAGCTTTTACTGCAACCACTTTGTCACTCATCCTATCCAGGGGAAACCTTCTTTGGTACAAATATCCATTCTGGTTGCCCAGAATTCTGTTTAAAACAATCCAAGATTAAACTCAGATGGAATTCAATCACATGGGCGCTGTGGTGGCCAATTTATGGCATCAATCAAAAAAATTAGTTATAGTAGTTTACCAAGGTTATTAGGAAATCTCAGCAGGGAAGAAAACTCAAAATTGAAGGAATCTGTTTGATAGAAGCTCTTTTAGGCTTATGTATTTCTCAATATGTCATGATTAGGCCATATTATCTCAAAAACTTATTAAGATCAGTATAAACTCTTAGGGCCCGTTCGGGTCGTTTTCAGATATTATCTGACCTGAAAACCAAATTTTGATTTGCCCCTATCTCAAGGGGCACATCGAGATAGTGGTCTTTCAGATACTGAGATTTCCAAACAGCGATCCAAAAGAGGTCAACAGACGTCTGTTGACCTTGCAGTGATCATATTTCTGTTTGGTAACACCCACATGAGATTGTATGTATCTTTTCATTCAACTCAAACTTTTGAAACAATCATCATTGACCTTCATTGTTCTCATCCTACCGTAATCTTTCCATTCGATGTATCCATTCTTCTTTTGAACTCGATATTATCTCTTAAATAATCTAATTGGTCAATTTCTTCATCTATATACTTTGATAAATACATTTTAAATTGATGTTTTAATAGTTTCATCATCTAAATCTACGTTATCAAATTGTCAATTGATTCTAGTTCTACTACTGTTCAAAGGTAAGATCAATCAAACCTTTTGAATCAAAGTATCATTGATAGCATTTTTCAAAGTTTAGTATAACTATTCAACGAAGATCCTTGAACAATATCCTTTAGAAAAATATCTAAACAAGGCAGAGATGAGATTATAAAAAGATCAAAATAGTAAAAACTATTATGGAGTGAGGGTGGATGAGCAAAGCAGTGAGGATCAAAGAACATAAGGGTGTGTGTGGGTGATGAGAAGTTGAGAAGGAGATGAACAAAGAAGATAGATGGAGGAGGGGCACATCAAGATAGAGAGATACGGCCAAAAGGCTGTATCTCGATGTGGACCAATATCAAGATATTGACGATCAGATATTGACCTCAAATATTTGAACCAAACGCTGATCTGATTTTGAATATCTGGTCGAGATTGGACCCAGATATGATGTGGCCGTATGTAACTTTTTTAGTGTGAAATTTGGCCACATCGTATCTGCTTGCGGTGTCCGAACGGGCCCTTAACAAATGGATTA